ACACATCTTTTTCATCCTTTTACTTTCAATCTACTTAGGCCATTAAATTTGAAGTGAGTTTTTTTGTAGACAGAATGTAGTTAGGTCATTAAAAAACAACAAAAACTTCTGTTGTTCCCCCCTCCACACACATACACACTGTCAATCTCTGCCTTTTGATAAGTGTATGTAGATCATTTACACTTAAGGCAATTCTTGATACCTTAGAGTTTAAGTACAGCATTTTATTATTTGTTTTCTGTTTGTTTCCTCTGGTTTTGTTTGGATTATCTTTTTATTCCCCCCACTTCCTGTGTGCTAAACATTTTATTAAGATTCCACCTTGATTTACTTATAGTGTTTTAGGGAGGTACACTTTCTAGCTATATATATTTTTGTAGTAGGTGCACTGGGTATTATGATATACACTTGCAGCATGTCACATTCTACTGGTATCAATATTTTACTACTTTGAATGAAGTGTGGGAAACTCACTTCCATTTAGTCCTTTTATCTTTTCCACTTTTAAATATTGTTTTGAGTATCAAATTGTGTTATACTTTTTGTTTCAATTATCAAATATGCCTTATAAAACTGACGAGGATTATCTGTCATACATGTCCTTATTTCTGCTTTTGTCTTTCTTTTTTTCTGACACTCCAAGTTCCCCTCTATCATTTATTTTGTTTAAAAAAACTTCCTTTAACCAATCTTTACAGATAAGTCAAGGTTGGTTTCACTAGATATGGGATTCTGGACTGACAGTTCTTGTTCTTTTTCTTTCAGCACTTGTAAAAAGTTGTGCCACTTCCCTCTGGCCTCTCGTTTCAGGTGATAAATCCTTTGCCATTTGAATTGTTCTCATATAGGTAAGGTGTTGCTTCTGTCTGATTTGAGATTTTTTTGTCTTTGGTTCCCAGATATCCAATTATGATGGCTTTGCATTTACCCTTTTAGGTTTCACTCATTTTTTTGAATGTGGAATTTGTATTGTTCACTGCACTTGGGAACTTTTCATCCATTATTTCCTTGAATACTGTTTCAGCCTTACCTTGTCTCCTTCTGGAACTCTGATGATACAAATGTTGGCTCTTTTGTTATTGTTCCACAGGTCCTTGAGGCTCTGTTCTTTTTTTTTCCTCGCAGTCTATTTTCTCAGTTGTTCAAATTGTGATTAAACTCTGTCGTACTGTCCTCAATACTGCAGTGTAAAAAACCCAAAACAAAACCTGTCCTCAAGTTCACTGATTCTAGCCTCTGTCATCTCCACTCTGCTACTGAGCCCACACACTGAAATTTTTAATTTATTGTTGTATTTTTCAGTTCAACAATTTCCATTTAGTTCTTTTGTATAAGTTCTATTGATTTGCTAAGATTTTTATACTTTAAAAGATCATTTGTATTGAACTTTTGACACATTTTAAACAGCTGTTATAAAATCATTTCAGTGTTCATGCCAGTTGTCTTTTCTCATTGAAATTATGATTTCTTTTGTTTTTGGTGTGATAGGTTTTATGGTTGTATGCTAGAGATTGTGTCTACTATATTAAGACACTCTGGGTCCTATATAATCTTTTATTTTAGCAGGCAGACGCCCTGTTTATCTTTAGAACCCAGGCCCTAGACTTATATTTGGGGACCGTGGGCCCAATGACAGCTTACTTTTCAGAGCTTTTAGGGTGTATTTTGATCCACAGCTGGCCAATGAGACCTCTTTGCCCCACAGATCTGAGACTCCCTTGGCGGGGTATTTTTGTGGTGGAATCCTTCCCATTTATGCCGTCAGGCTGTCTCAAGTGTCTTTGAACAGAGGAAGGGAATCTTATAGCTGCTGGGGCCAAGTAGCTTCCTAGGCTGAGCCACTTGTCATGGCTGAGTTTCTCTGGTGTTGTTGCCTGACTAACGCAGTACCTCCCAGGGGGGAAGGTGACTCTCAGGTCTAGCAGGAAAGAACATTTATCATTAGGGACTCTCATCAGTAAGAGGGGCTGATGGTGCTTGCCTCACGCAGTGGTGTTAAAGGGATGCTAACTGATCAGGGGAAGGAAGGAGTATTTCTGAGCTGCCTTCTGTTGATAGTTTGGGAAAGGTCAGGCCTGGGTCACCTTCCTCTATTGGGTGAGGAAATATAAGATGTTCTGCCACTATGCTGTCCCACCAGTCCTAGGGTTCTAAACCAATTTGCTGCCTTCTTACATTCTCTCTCTTTTTTTTAACCTGGACTGGTTTTATTTGTTATTATTATTTTATTTTAAAGATGTTGGGTACAATTCAGGATTAGGTATACAAATGGTCATCATATACGTGAACTTTGGGCCTCTCTTTGATCCTACTTTGCCTGATTTGAGATCAGGTACCCTTGTTGATATTATGTGCACCGCCCGCACCCCGTCACTGGCAGTTTCTGGCTACTGCCAATTCCTTTCTTGTAGTATTATGGTAAATGTTCCAGGTTTGCTTATGAGTGAGAACATATGGTATATACCCTTTCAAGGTTCTCCTTTGGTCGTTTCTTGCATATTTACAGGATTTATAATCGTACTTAGTGGAGAGGGAGACCCAACTCTACCTTCTGTCTAAACCAAATTCTCAGTTCAATTATTTTTACATTCATCGTACGTTAACTCTGATTTGATGTTTTTAAATTAGAGGTACCTAAAAAAAAAAAAATTGGAAGTATGCTGCCTGGACACAAGAATTTAGAAAGTTTGGATTGGTTCTCACATAATTTGTGCCTGCCGTATTATTGAAGTAGTACTATCATCCCTATTTTAAGATGAAAGGGTGGAAAAAAGGCGCCTGTGGTCCAAATGAGGTTCCAATTGAATGTACTCACAGTATAAGATCTACTTTGAGGATTAAATTAGCATTACATGTAATACATATACTACATATACTAGTTGCCAGTGCACGCAGGCAACTAGTTGCCCAATAAATGTTACTGTTCTCCTCTTTCTGCAGCCCCAAATTTCCGCTACTTGTTTAAAGTTCCTGAGGACAGAAAAAAATTTGTCTTTTTCACCTTGTATCACTAGGGTCTGGAACAGTAACTGGCAATAAAAATTTAGCTGCCTGAACAGCATTTTGTCACTTTTAACACTTTCGTTTCTCTCCAGCCATTCTCCTTCCCTCTTTTCAATTTTTTTGAACTTCTTGTGACTCAGTTTCTTCCATGAATTAGCTCATCTAAGGCTTCTTCCCCTCTGTTCATTTGCTGTGCCGAGCAGGAAGCCTCTCATGTTCATGTATTTTGATGATTCTCTGCTATCCAGTCATCCCATTCTTGGGAAGAGATAGAAAACACTTATTTCCTCCTGAAAATTAGGCAATAACAATCACAGCCCCTGTGAAATGGCAGAAAAAGGGGTAACTGTTTGTAGCATCCATTTTATTTGCTCAGAGTAATGGACCTACCTCCCAAGTTTTTAGTCAGTTTATTCATTGCTCACAGCAATCAAGAGGTTATAAGGAGAGGTCCTAAATTTAATTCCAAATTACTGTAATCTAAAATCAAGCCTGGGTGAAATCAATGCGCATTTAAATCTTAATGTCTCCAAAGCCTATATCTTATATTGCCATGTAAAATTAAACTTCAGAAAACATAGTCTGCCTTAACTAAAATAGGTTAGACAAAAACTTTGAACTATCCAAAAATGTGTATGTACTCTGGTGCTGCACAATGAGAACACAAATTAAAGAACAATATTCATCTAGTACCATCATCTATGTATATTTCTTAGGGATTTCAAAACAAAACTTTCCAAATGACACCCCAGAGCCTTCTGCCAATTCTACTGTAACATCTGACACTATGCCGAGTTGAAGGTCAAGGATACTTCACTGTAATAAACAAAAACCACAAAACCACAGCGAACCTGAATGCAACATGAAGGTGGCTCAGGAAGATAAGACTCTTATTTGGGGAAGACACTTGGGGAAGGCTCTCACTTAGCACAGACTCAAGAATACTTTTCTTTTCAGTAGAAACTTAGCTTATGAGGAATCTTCATAACCAGAATGGATGTTAAAGAGAGGGAACATTTTACCCAACTTTATTACTCAGGGAATAAAACTTATTTACTAAAAGTATTTTGGTGATAAATTTTTCTTTGCATTGAAACAGGCAGTTTGCAAAGATGTCCTCTCAAGTCATTAAAACATGACCTGTCAGGAAAATAAATATGAGGTCAACACCACTGGAACTTGGATCAAGATACAAGTTCTTAGAATTCTTTTCCAACAGACACAATAGGCCGTTAGTTCAAGAATACATGAGATCCTTTCAATTCAACATCATGCCTTTCAAAGTAAAGAAGCATGAAGGAGACAATTTCTGAAATTTGTTGTTTTTACATTAAGACTCTTTTTTAAAAAGCAAAATTATGTTTGCATTTCTGTACAATTTAGAGAGAAATTAACATCAGTATATACATATACTGCCCAAATATAACCAGTAATGTTTCTGACGGTGGAGTTGTGAAATTAACTATCCAGTTAGAGTAAATTCTTTCTGGACTAATGTGGTATATTTTTCTGAATCTCTTTGAAATAGTAATTAAGTTCACACATAAGTAATAACCTCAACCAATTTTGAGAAGGCAAAGATGCAGCAGTCAATCATATGTAATAAATTTATACGACTCAAAAAGCACTGAAGTCTTGGTATGTGTCGGGGTCAGCTGGGTACCCTGAACAGAAGGATTCAAACTATTTAAGAAAATCTAGTGAGTTGATGGTTCTTTTGATATAAGAGTATTGACTATATCTCATTCCAGGAACACAATGAAAACATGATGCCTAAGAAAATAAAGACTTTGTGTCTAAAACATGACTTGCTTGGTAAAGAAGATTAGAAAAAGTATTTAAAACCTCCCACTTATCCTAAAATGACTGATCGTGGCTTCTGACTAAAAGCTCAAAGTTCCTACTCAATATTAATTACCCTCTATAAAATTTCCAGCGTTAGGCAGAGATTAGGTTCATTACCTAGAACAATTCTACAAAGGGCAATATTGCTCTGGTAGGATTGTTAACTCTGCAGGATGGCATTTTATTTAACAGAGAGCATGGACTTCATACATAGCCATTATCAGTGCCTTGAAAACCAAACAACTTTAAAAGTTAGCAGCAGTTTCTGCAAGTACAAAAATACACATTTATTACATAACATATGGTAGTAAAATTTGTCAAGATATATTATACAAACTCAAAGCATTTAGATAAAGCATCAGTCGAATATATTATAGATTGATGGAGTATAATAAAATGACATGTAGTCTGTCTTCAAATCATACAATATAATACTTTACAGCAATATTAACAAACTATTCACATTAAGTATTACAGGAGTATCTAAGGGAACACAGAGTAGGAATGGTTATTAAAAAACCTCGGCAACTATTTTTGTCTATGCTTCAAATTGAGTGGATGATTTTCTATCTGCCAGTAGGAAATAAAAAGGCTAGAACTACTATTTTGGTAAGCTGGGAAGCAATTTCTCCCAGAAAGACACTCCAAACCATAAGAGATTCATTCACATCTTGCAGTTCTAACAGTAGTATGCCCTAAGAGGAAGGGGAGTCCCTGTTGCCTTTATATATTATACCACAAAAGATGCATATGGACACTCAGGAGTCTTAATATGTGGGAGTGGTTAGTTATAAGGTGAACTTGACTTCACACCTGTGACTGAGATGGCCAGTGTCATAAAGAAGCTCTTTGGACACAGAGTTCTAAAAGTTAATTATAATGAGTAGGGCAAACAGGGCCATGCCCCCGAGAGGTAGGTAGCACCCATAGCTAATACTGAAATAACTTTTATCTTAGAGAAAACATTTTTTTCTCTGTAACTGAAAATGCAACTTTCAGGACAACAAGGAAAGGACATTTGCTATGACAGTTTCCTGGTGATTGACAAAAAAAAAATAACTTGGAATAAGCTCATCTGTGGGAGAAACATCCATTTAATGATGGACTGAAGAGATCAATTGGGGTTCTAAGCAACTTCTTATAGGTAATTAGTAAACATAGTAGAAGACACACATCACTTTTAGTGCCATCTCTTTATACTGGTTGGCAAGGTCTGATAATCTCTTCCTAGGTGAGGAGATGTATCACTGTAACCTTCTTAAGTCAAGAGAGAAAAAAAATGTCCTTTGATATGAAATAAACAAATGGGGCATAAACCATCTATAAACCACAAATCATTTGGGACAAAAATATGAAAAAACTTCAGGAAGTGAGAAAACCCAAAACCAATGACTGTCTGCGAATAGACCTGGAAGCCACTGTTGGATATTCTGTTCTGTGACTCCTTATAACCTGCCAACCTCTAAAATGCTCTCTCAATTGTCTAACTACAAAATTGGACAAAGAATGATTGATAAGTAATTTTTTTCTGGCTGACTATACTCTAAGAGGCAGGGCTGTGGAAAAACATTTCGGCAAGAGGCGCCATGCTTTGATCACATGTTGGTAATAGCATTTGTGTAACTGAGAAAGGACAATTGTGGTTTTTTTCCTCCACATTATGGTGGTGAATGCTGCCAGGAAGTCACTTTCTCAACAGAAAAAAGCTGCATTTCTGGAGAATATTCCTAGCAGTGTCCCCTTTGTAAAGGGCACTGAAATGTACAACCATTTCCTTCTTTCTACTTGTTTCCAGAAACCTTTACAAAGCACTTCAATACCAAAGAAAAAACAAAAATACAACCAACAACAACAACAACAAAAATGGGTATGGTGGTACCCATGGCTCTTGAATCACTCTACTTTTCTCCATGCTAGCTGCAGCAATGGGCTGGTTCCTGGAATGATTCTGTGAGGACATGTGACTATAAGAGACCACAGAAATGGCCACTGGCTTAAATTTAGGGAAAGGTTTTACATGATTTCCTTCATTGCCGGACATGCTTTGCTTCTTAATGCTTTGATCAGGGACATTTTCCTTGCCTACTTATTAAAAACATTCCATGGAATGTGGATGGTTTCTCTGCACCCTTCCCCTCGCTCCCCAGTCCCTTATTCTTCATTCGAGAAATCCTGGTCTTCTCAGGACACTAGCCTCACATAAGGATTTCTTCCTCTACAGAAGATGCCTTGTCTAGTCCTCTGCTAGCATTTCTAAAACCACATGGCAAAACTAATCACATCCTTTAATAAAAAAAAGCTCCCAAAGACTTAGGTAACAAATTTTTTTAGCATAAGGTTTTTTTTCCCAAGTAGTCCCAAAAAGAGAATTATTTTGTTGTCCTAAGTATTAGAAATGATTATCTGTATGCTACCTCTCCCAGGTACTTTATACAAAGGGTCACGATAATTATTATCTTTCTGCTATTATTAGCCCGGTCCCTGTTCTTGCAGACATCAGATTCTTATTGATGTTAAGTGTCTTTGGTTAACTGTCTGTCCCCAACATCACAGACCCCTGTAGGCGCCGAGTTGGGGCTGGCCATGTCCTCCACAGGCCAAGAGCTGGCTGAGGCACTTTCCCAGGGTAGAGAACCAGAAGAGCCTTGGCCACCATGCTCTACTTCCTCATGTGATTTCATGCACGGCTTGAGTCTGCTCTCCACCAGGCCGAATGGAGGGCTACAGTGTCTTTCTGAGCCCTGGCAGGGAGAAGAACCACAGCTTTGGACTGACCGCACAGTGCCCAGTCCTTCCGTGGCCCTTGAGGGCATGTCTTCCTGTTTCTCTCGCAGCGAGTTGGCTTCTGGAACACCAGAAGCATGTGGAGGTAGCTCCAAGGGTCCTTTTAGAGAACTTACTTTCTTCTCCTCCGGTCTGGCTGCCTTTGCTTTCTTTTTGAGGGACCAGTTTTTCAGACTGGCCACACCATTTCTCAACCACGTACTGGGGTGAAGAGTTACGGGATGCATGTGTGAGTGCCACTCCATGGTGTCCTTTTTCGGATAAGCCAGGCGGCTGCTGGCCTGCCCTGATGAGGGACTGGGCATTCCAGAAACAAGGCTGGAACTGCTAAACTCAGAAGAAAGCTCTTCCTGTTTTCTTTGCGCCTGAAAAGTGCAATCTATTGGAGAGGAAGTTTCAGTGGGTGTAAACACAGAGTGTTCAGAAATCTGAGAAAAAGCACTGTCCTGGGAGCTTACTGATGAGCCGGACGGGGAAGTGCCTGGAGACGATAAGCTGGAGTAGCTAGTCCTTGGGCCAAGGTTTAATCTCGGGGGTAAAACCTTCTCAGAGTTTTGGTTGGTGGCACTGCTCTTGCCCACCTCAATCCCCATGACCAAACTCTGATTGATAAGCTTTTGCCCCTCTATTTGCAAAGACTTATGCCGTTTCAGATAATCCTCCTCTCCATGCAAGAGACCAGCTTCACAGCTGGTTTTGTGTTGTTTCTTTGAATAAATCCCCCTGAGATAGGTCAGTTTGCAGTGCTGGTCATCTATGTTGGGCTCTGAGCAGCGCCGATGTGTCCTTGAACTCTTGAGGGCATCTGCTGTGTGTGGCGGGGAGTATCCAGATGTATCCACATCAAAGGGCTGATTCTTGGAATGATCCTGTGAGGACATAGGATTAAAAGATGCCACAGAGATGGCCATTGGCTTGGACTTAGGGAAAAGTTTCACATGATTTCCTTCATGATCAGACAAGCTTTTCTTCCTCATGTTTTGATTAGTGGCATTTTTCTTGCTGATTTCAGTGCCTGTGACTAAATTCTGTTTAAAGTATGTTTTACTCCCTTCCTGGAGGGGTTGATTCTGCCTCAGATAGTCTTCATCTTTTTGAGAGAGAATTGCATCACAGCTGGACTTGCGTAGCTTTTTCTGATAAAACTCCCTGATGTAGGAAAGCTTTGAATCCAGATAGTCGATGCTGGGCTCTGAGCAGCGCCGGTGTCGTCTCAGGCTCTTGGCAGCACCTGCTGCAGCTGTGGACAGGTAGCTGAGTGTGCACATGCCAGACGGGGCCCTGGCATGATCGCGCAGTGGGACCTTTGTGTACACTAATGAAACACTCACTGGTTTGGATTCAAGAGGCCGCTTCATTTGAACGTCTTCCTCTTTAGAGTGGTCCAAGTCAAAGTCACTCAGGGTTAGAAGGCCTTCCACTTCAGGAAGGTCAAGGTCATAGTCACTGAGGGTTAAGACAGAGTCCATGCTCCTGCTACCCTGGCCTAGTTTCTTTACCAAGTCACTGCATGGAGCATCAACATCTTCATTTAGCTCATTTTCCAAGCTGTCATAAGAGGAGTCATTCAATTGGAAGCAAGAGATATCTGTCAAAAAATAAAACCATGATTAACATTTTTACTTACCACAGATACAGCCCACACTGCCGTAAAAACAAACTGGTGCTTAGTTTAATTCTCTTTTCATGTAAAGTGTTCAAATTCCTACTCTTGAGAAAGAATCTTTCACAATATTCCTAATTGTTAGTAGGGAATTAAAAAAACAAACAAACTTGTAGAGGTATATAGGAGATTTATCTCAGTTCCTGATGAGTGGGCTTTCCTGAAGAAAGATCTTCTCAAATCAATGAACGTATCATATAACCAAGAAATGATGAAAACTATGAAGGAATTGATGCCAGGTAGACCCAGACTCTGAATAAGAATCTGCCTTCTAACACACCCAACTCTAGTCTTGGAGAAACCACTTACTAACCCTATCAATTTCTCTTTTATAAAGTTCTTTAATACCCATTAACTTATTTAGTCTTTATAACAACACCAAAAGCTAGACATTATTTTATCCACATTTTACAGATGACACTGATTTTCAGTGGCACAGAATAACTTGCTAAAGATAACATAACTAATACGAGATGGTACAGAAATTCATATTCTGGAAGGTTGTATGTCTTCAAATGCAGTGTCTGCCCTCGCAAAAATGCTAGCTGTTTTCAAAATGTTTTATAGCACACTAGAATTCCAAGGTGTCTCAGGGACCAGTACGAGGAGGAAGGAAAACACGAGGACTGCCTCTACTACTCTGGGGCTTTCTACTTGAGTTTCAGCTATAGCAGTTCTATCAGATATGTTAGGGTTCCTATAGAATTTTATTTCTAAAAAGTTTCAAATCACCATAATATAGCATGCTGCCACTAACAACCTCTTGAAGGCTGGGCCTCATCTTACCCTTTTCTTAACCTCACGACACTGTGAACATACACGACCTTTTTAGCAGGCCTTCTAAGGAAGGATCAGAAGCCCTGGCCCCACTGGCTAGGTCCAAGACTAGTTTTACTTCAGCGGTTGCGGGCTCTAGGAAAACCCCTGTCTCAGCATCTTCACAGACATATGTTTATTTCTCACAAAAACCAATCCAATTATTCGCAATACCTGAAGCATTCTCTCTCGCAACACATCTTACTGAAACCTCTCCCAAGAGGGAAGTGATTTCTTCTCCAAATATCCTACGGCAATTCTCAATCAGAAATTGTATAAGCAGAGAAACCTGTATAACAACAAACAAACAGTTACTTTTTGTATATGCTTATAAATCACATTTCATCTATGAATACTGATCTTAAAAACAGAATCAAATGTGTCCTGAGAAAAATTCTTATCTACTTTAGGAGTACATAGAACGGTTTCCCCTAAAAAATGATGATACTTCCAGGAGCTGTCTGGGCACAGAAATTAATTTTGATCAGTGAAATAAAGTTATTATTTGTGGCCTTGGATTAATGCTTACATTTTATACCAATGGCTCTGTCTTTAAAATTAGGATGATTTAAAATATTCTCCATAGGGTGTTTGTTATTAACAACATTATTAAACATAAGTAGACAAAGACTTATGAAAAGTATTTCTTATGCAAAGGGCAGGCTTCCATAAACTTGGGAAGAGGGTTCATCTGCGGGTGTGTTGTGAAGGAGAGTAAGGAAGAAGACGAGTTTTCTTCCTGACTTGTCTCTACCTATGCATTTGACTGGTTAGTCTACCCATGCACTGCCTTCCATTAGGCTCCATACCTGGAGGTGATTGGGCAAACAGGTGAGTTTATGAGGGAGCTTTATGCCTCTACTTAAGTGTCCTGGAATCTATCTGTAGTTTCCTTGCCCTAGAGCTGAGGCCAAGGGCCAAGAGGGATGTTGAGAGCAAAGGGAACTGGCAGGCTATAGGAATGTGACTGCAATAACTACTGTATTATTAGCACCTCCATTAAGAAAATTTTTTTTAGATGAGGACACTGTGGATCAATGTAACTAACTGCTAAAGATTGTACCCTTGCAAGTGGTGGGGCTGAGAATTGAACCCTGGCTTGCCTAAATCCAAAGTCCTTATTTTATTTTTCAGATTGAAAAAAATTATACCAGCTGCTTTCTTATCACTCTATTGTTGAAGTCAGTCATAGTGTTTAGCCTCCTTAAAGGAAAAAGGGGAGTAATTCAATTGCTATCACTTTTCTTCTTAACAAACCACTTTTCCATAGTCTACCAGGATAGACTAAAACATGCCATAGTGGGTCAACTCAAATTTATAAGGGGGTGTACTTAAGTTATTTAAGACATCATCTTTCAGAATTAATACCCCAAATTTCAGCTTCAAAGTGGGGACTCAGTCCCCCAGGGTATGAAAATGAAAAACGTCATTACCTTTTTGGTAAATTCGTTTTCTAGCTCTGGGCTGGAAGAAGTAGGAGGCCAAAGAATGCTTGGAGCGATACACACTGCCAAATTGAACGCAGTCATCTGATTGGATGAGGAATGCTGCTCGATGTTGTATAATACCCCAAAAAGATACCTTAGAAGAACAACATTGGCTCTCGGAAGCTGGTCTAATAGCCTAAAGACAGAAAAATGCACTCTTTAAGCAAGACATTTCATTTAAAAACTTGTAAAGACAAGCGACCCTCACTGTGCATGGGCAAGAGGGCGAATCAGGAACACAGTTCAGATATGTAAGAGTTTCAGTTAACATAGTACCATGCCAAGTGAGGACTGCTTGTGCAAAAAGGAAAATAAGCACTGGGAATTTATCTTTTTTTTTTTGTTGTTTTTACACTACCTTCACAGTTTGATGAAAATGTAAAAGAATACAGAAAAAATCTTGTTTAAAAAAATCCTGGCTTGAAATATTTCCCTGAAACTAGTACAATGTGTTTGAACTTGAATCCTGTAACAGTTTCAGAATATTCTCAATCAAAACTCACAAGGTTTCTCATAAAATTAAACAGCAATTAAATGTAAAGTGTTCCTTCATTTCCAAGTAAGCAATACAGAAATGCTGTCTCTTGCTAAGAGCCCAACCCTTAGCTACTGAGACTTCCAAAGACCATTCTGAGAGCTTACACTTGGCTCCACCAGCTTCCAAGGTCAATTTTGCCCCAAATTTGTCTCACTGGTATCACTTTCACATATCAGACAAACTTACAGCAGTATATTTTCCACTACTCCCATTTTGTAACTGATAAATGATCATTCTCCAATGATTACTACTATCCAGAAACATGTGTGTATACACACACACATACATACACACTCATATTCATGACTGTTACATTTTCCAAAAAGAATGTGCAACCTAGGGAAAACAAGGTAGGTTGACTTCTGGTGGCCAAACATTAGAGAGTCCTTTCTTTATGGACTATGAACTGACAAGTATAGTTTTTGTAATGATACATTATGAAGGACTTTGAAATACAGCACAGTATTACTGGATGTGGTCAATGAAACATAAGGCATCTAGCATAAACTTTTTTGTTATCTGAATCTCTGGGGACCCTAAGCTTTTTTACTGCAAGAGCTACTTTACAACTTTGTAAGTTATAGATAACTGATAGCAGCGTACTTAATAATACTTGTCTAAGATTTGAAAATTCTGTCTGGAGAGACAACAGATTTATCTGCACCCTTCTGCTGGTAGAAAAGCCCAGTTTTGTTTGCATCTATTTGTAAATTCATTTCAGCATTTCTGATTTATCTATATAAGTAGTTGTGGTACTTTGAAATCTCTTCTAAACTGGTTGTAACATCTAACTGGTTAATTAACAACTTAAATAAAATCTTTTATGTGTTTATTTTATATTTGTATGAGCCATAATTTTACCTTTTTTAAAAAAATTGTCCTTTAACAGTTTACAGGCTATATAACATTTTAGACAATGAGCAACAGATTATAGAATCTGATGCTCATGAAATGGTTCACATAAACTCTCACGGAAGTAGGGGTAGTATTTTGTCACATGGCTTTGGTTTCTGCTTCAACAGCTGTACTATATTCTTCTGCTGGTGAAGGATGTAAGTAATTCATATTTTAAAGTTGCACAAGAAAAAAATTTTGCTGAACACAAATGCGAATGAATAAGTACTACTGGTATTCTTGAGTATTCACAGAACTGGAAGTGTTACTTTTGTTAGTGGACGTTTCTCTCCTATTCTCTTGGGATGAGGGAAACATACAGTAATGGGAGGAGTGAGTTCTACCAGCAACTATCCCTTGTATGAGCAGAGACAGCGCATTCTTTGTGGTCAGACTGACTTTGCCACTCCCTTTGTCCCTGACACTTCTTGAGGAATTGGCTGCCTCCACGGCAGCTCCCTCCAAGTATCTCTCACAGCACTGGTTACACTGTACTGTAACTGCGACTCTCAGTTTATTTGTCACTTTGCCAGACTGAGAGTTCCTTGAGAAGAGGGAATAGGTCACTTTTTTTTGTATATGATGAGTGAAATATATGATGAGTTGTTTGCTTAGTTAAATATTTACTAAAATTAGGAACATAAACTGTAGATTGGGCCTACAGTATAAGCTAGTGGTCTAACAGATTTCAGCTCCTATCCGTTTCAGATATATAGAAGGTATACAAAGTTCAAGTACTGAATGTCAATATGACAAGCCAGAGTTAATCTATTTTTAAACTGGTCCCCATGTATATGACCTTAACCATCATCACTATTTTAATAGATAAGTAATACAATTTTTTTTTTTTGAGTTGAAGTCTCACTCCGTCACCCAGGCTGGAGTGCTGTGGCTTGCTTATGACCACCCAAGCATCGACATGCTGGGCCTCAGCAATCCTTCTGCCTTAGCCTTCCTAGTAGCTGGAACTACAGGCGTGTGGTACCACATCTGGCTAATTTTTTATTTATTGTAGAGACGAGGTCTCGCCAAGTTGCCTGGACTGGTCTCGAACCCACGGGCTCAGGCAATCCGCTCACCTCGGCCTCCCGAAGTGCTGGGATGACAGGCGGAGCCACCGCAAGATGTTCTTTAAAAGTATTTTTGAGACATGCCAGGACCAAACTAGAATACTCACCTTTGAACTGTATTTATCTTCTCTTCATCGTTTCCTTGATCCATCACACAGACCCAGTGATCGTAGAGATCTGATGAAAAAATACTTCCTGGAATATTTCGTAGAAAATCCTTACATAGATGGAAAAACAGATATTTTAAGTCAGTATTTTCATGTCAAATATGTGTTAGAGAAATTAGAGAGAAAACATTTTGCTGACAAGTTCAGTTAAATACTCCCTTCCATGTACTATGTAGAGCTCTGTGCCAGCTCTCTACTAACTTGTGAACATAGAAACACATGCTTTGATTTTTTTTTATAACAAGAACATTGGGATGATTGAAGTTTGCATTACGGTGGGAAAGATCAAGGCTCACTTATTTGGGCTGGAACCTGTTTGCATACATTTTAGCAAACTAGTACAGCATGACAGGGTCTGGCAGTCATCAGTCTAAATCCTTTTTTCCCCATTCCCTTAAATGGCTAGTTCAAGGGAATGCACCAAGATATCTGTGAGGTTCATAACCTGGTAATCATTCATTCAGTCATTCTATATGTGTTTATTCATATGTGCCAAGCACTGTTTGAGTTGCTAGGGATAGGGATGTGAATAAAATAAAGTCTCTCTTATCTTAGAACTTTATATTCCAGTGGTATGGATGCATAACTGCATCTAGAGGTTTTTAAGGTTCCTCCCTGCATTCCTCATAAAAGGACTCTGTATATTTGGGGAGAGAACATATTTCAGGTGATGGTTGGGTTCTGGGAACTTGGAGGCAATACCCCAATACTTGATGTACACTAAATTACACATCCACGGTACATTATCCTTTCTCGGAGACTCTATTCTACAGAGACCACTGATAGGGGTTGGTGTGGTGAAACCAAATTACGGCACAAACAGAATATGGCTAAGGGTGTTTGTTGTTTGGCTTTTGTTTACAAAAAGCTTAAAAATAAACTAAATTTGATCCTGGGTGATCTTAGAGAGTTGATTCTAGCCCAACTCTCTTCATTGCTTTTGATATGGCATTAACCAGGTCAAGCCTGCCGTGTGATCTCCACCTCAGTGAACTTTAGGCAGCGTCACCTCAATTCTGAGTTTAAGCTGTTCTCATAGTTGGCTACCCTTTTGCAACTTCCTGCTTACAACTTGGAGACAAATCTGCAATTGAGCAATTTTAACCATTGCTGGAAAATCATATCAATGACTTTATGTGGCCTTAGAGAAGGCAACACACAATTTGGTATTTACATGTCAAGTTCATATCACTAATATGGAAGCTGTGATAACTTACAGTTAGCTGGCTATGTGGGCATCTTCCACGCTTGCTTATGAGCTCCTCCAGGGTAGGGAACAGACCCTCACCTTCTCTGTTCATGTTGATGCCAAGCACAGTCCCAGCCAGTCATAGTAGAAGCCACTAGTGAACTGCTACTGTATGTCATGTAACCAAATATTAATGGAGGCCAAGAAAAGGTCAATTAACTGTAACTGTGAGTCTAAGATAATTTTAAGAATCTCTTCATAGTTATGGCACTTTGTTACCCTACCTTTTTTTTTTATGGTGTCAGAGTCTCACTCTATTGCCCAGGCTGGAATGCAATGATACAATTACGACTCACCACAGCCTCAACCTCCTGGACTCAGGTGATCCTTCCGCCTAAGCTTTCCGAGTAGGTGGGACTACAGGCGCATGCCACCATGCTTATTTGTTAATGTTTTGTGAAGAGGAGGTCTTGCTATGTTGCCTAGACTGGTCTCAGACTCCTGGGCTCAAGCAATCCTCCTGTCTTGGCCTCCCAAAGTGCTGGGATTATAGGCGTGAGCCACTGCACCTAGCCCTATTTTTTTTTTTTTAGAGTGGTTAACAAGAAGGTAGATAGATTGATTTGAAGTCTTCCTCTGTTCTATTATACCTTCCAGTAGAAATATACCTGAATACTTGTGAATCAGGTAAATCATTACAGAGGTTACCTCTTTTTTTGGGTAAAGCTATTGAATTTTCATAATTCTAAACTAATTTTAGCTGATACACCCACTTTAGAAGTCAGATTTAGAAGAGGCAAATATCTGTTATATCAAATTGGGGTAGTGACAATAGCTTTCTTTTAAAATCTCAGTGGAAAATATACTTATGATCTGTCCTGAAGAAAAACATCATTAAATCTTAAACCTACACTTGAAAGATAATAACTTGTAACATCTCAATGAACTCTCTCACAGCTGGAATAACAAGTTACAAAAATGCAACCACCATAACAGCTGAGAAGGATGTGAGAGGGGTTCGAACTGCAATCATCCACTCACAGCAATTAACTGAAAGTTTCCTCCCCTCCAAAATTGGAGCCCAGGCCATCAGCAGAACCCCAAATCCATCTGAGATGAGATTCTGCAGGATTAAATATGAACTTTTCCTCAAAGGTCTGATGGATCAAAGATCAAAGTTATAGTGTCTCAAGCAATTTTTGTCCAATTAAAGTTTGAAGAGTTAAACTTAAAATAAAACCAGCATAAGTGAAAAACAAAGAAACTTACATACCACTTCAAAATAGACTTAAAAAGCAAGAAACAAAGTAACCATTTGGAAGGAATAAGGGTAAAACACAATTACTCAGAACACATCTGAGCAGACCTTTCAATCATTTGAATCATTTGATTGTTTTTGGACAAATAGTATTTCTGCAATTTGAAACACAATTTAACTTTTCTGAACCATGGTTTTTGCAAAAGCATCCGTAGCTTAGCACAAAATTGTAAGTTTGGTGCTATGAAGACTAGCTTAGTAAGAACATTTTTTCTTTTTTTTCCCTGAAGACATTTCTGGTTATAAAAGAAATTTAAAAAAAAAAAAAAAAAAAAAGCTTTCCCTTCTTAAATTAAGAGATGGAAGAAAACTTAATTATATAAAAAAATTTATCATGCATATATATCCTTGGCATATATATCTGGCTAAATATGCCATACATATCTTTATGGTACTCCAGGACTGAGGAGTAATACCAAATCCTGTGCAAAACAGATTAGATGACCCTAGCTCGAGCAGTCCAGTTCTCTCGTGTGATATTTGATTGCAAAAGTCTATACCAGGGTATGTTTAAGAGCAGACACGGTCCATTTACCCAGAGACACCTGACTACACATAAAGTCATTACATATGATTTTATAAGCAGCTGGCCCCTCAGCTAGAGTAGGGGTATGCAAGAGTCTTCTCAACTATGTTTTCCTTAATTTGGTTTCTATATTTCAGGCCTTGAAATGCAGGCCGGGACTTTGTCTCTACCCCTGGCTCTGATGCATTCTAACCCCTTGGGAGGTGGGAACCTAAAGCAGGTCGGCAGAAGCTACTGCTAGAGTCAAATGTTTAAAACCGGTTTTGGTTCTAGCTTTTCCAAAAATGTAGGCCATTTCCAGGAATGGGTGGCAGAAAACCTTTTAGAAGAACTCTAGAACTCTGTAACTATAAATGTGACTTAAGTAACCATGAGTGAAGGGTAAGTATTAGAAAGAACGCCAGATGTGGTAATGGTAAAAGAAAAGACAGATTATGAAGTCATTCCTACTCTACTTTTAAAAGTAAAAGGCATCAGGGAACAAGGGAAGGAATATTTGTGGGCGTGATGATTATGTCAATGAATGGAATTTTCAGCGGTCTCTACCATTTTTGTTTCAGTCGTAAGGCAATGTTTATTATGGCAAATTCCTATAATTATTTTCAAACATTTAATAAAAGATTATTTTTGGAAACGCTGCCTTTATTAGGAAGGTAGTGAGATATAGGGAGGAAATCATCATAAACAGGATGGCTGTTTTGGTGAATGTGTGTGTTTTGATTATTTTAAATTTTAATTAAGCTTTATTTTTTACAGGGGGTGACAGAAGTGAAGATGAAATGAGTGTGAGATGAAAAATATTTTAAAGGGCCTATTTGATATGTCATATCATTGGTGGTAGCTTTTTGAAGTTCAAGGTGGACTTCGTGAAATGTTTTTAACACTTCTTGGTGTTAAAATTATACATCTATTTATTGGTCTTTGCAGACATAAAGAATGTTCATAATGAATAATACCAACATTTATCTTGCTCCAGAGCTATATCATGGGGTGGATAAATGGAAGACTTTCCCTACCTTTAAGACAGATGCTATCACAAAAATAGATTCCCGGTCGAGGTGTACTTCGACTCCAGAATTCAGTTTCTCTTTGAGCTCTCTGCAGGATTTCACATTGGCTGACTGCCTGAAGATGCCTTTGGTGAGGGGTCCTTTTTGATTAAGAAAGAAAAGCATATCCTATGGGAAGCAAAGGGAAAAAGTCAAAATGGCACTCCACACATACAAAAAAACAAACAGGTACTCGCTTTCTTTGGTTGCCAGAGACTGGAGTGTACTAGGGTGAAAGCACTGAAGGACTGCAGCTGGAGGGACAGCTAGAAGGATTAAAGTCAATGCTTTGGACAGCAGAACACTGGTGACCAGGGGCTGGGGCGGTGTTGGGGATGGGGAGATGCTGGTCAAAGGACACGAGATTTCAGTTGTAAGGATTTCAATAGTCAGGTGATCTACTGCATAACACGGTGACTATAGTTAATAACAATGTATTATATTCCTAAAAATTGCTTAAAGGGTAGATTTGAAGTGTTCATCAAATTTGCTATCTATCTGCGTGTCTTTTGCTTTTTGTGTAGGAAGAGAATGGGTTTTGGAGACAAACAATCCATGGGACTTGAAACCTAGTTAGGCTACTTAGTTACTGTGTAACCTTGGGTAAAGTTCTGAGGCTTAAAAAAAAATTGTAAAGCAGGGATGATGGCATGATAATAACTACCCCTAAATCTGTGGTAAGGGATAAACAATAAAGTGGCTAGAGGAGCATCTGGCACTTACAAATGCACAAACTATAAAATGCCATACGTCTAAGTAGAGTTGCTTGAAGGATGCTAGATAATAAATGCGACTTAGCAGTGATTATTTAGTGTATCAGTTGGAGAAAATATAAACTCTGTGACTTTTATGTGACCCATTCTATATACAAAGATAAATAAATGCTATGGAGTGCATCTTTATGCTTAAACACTTGAAATGCAAATAAAACTGTTTATAAAAGTTAAGTATGAGATTGAGTAGGCTTTGCTGCTACAGTGGTTAAAGAAGACTTTCTGAACAATGTGGAGTTCAAGAAAGGATTTGTGAGGGATAATGTGGATTCTCTGCCTATAGAGCAAATTCTAATTTATCTGCTGAAATCAGTAGACTATATTACTTCTTCCTATTATATCTTCCTTATGATTTCACAGTAGTGAGATCAGCTTTTTATTCTTTGAAGTTAATAATCAAGATTCTTACTCAAAGCCTGGGGTGTCAGTTTTTCTATTTGGAGACAGATTTACCTCCCAGACCTCTCTTTTCCCACTCCCCCTCCCTCTTCCCCATTAGTTTATGGGCCAAAATGAGCCTTACCAGGACAGGTTTGGGCAGATTGTCATTCTCACAAATATTTGGCAGAGAAACTCCGAAGAGCTGTCCTGGCATAGGTGACGTTGGCGAAATGGGCAAGTTGTCCAGGTGAGTGCTAGAACCCCGCCAAAAGGCCCAGTTAATGATAGATCTCCTCCTCTTAAATGTCTTCTGGCCTGAATCTAAGAAGAAGTGAGATTATCAACAAACACTAGTTTAACTCACAGCCTTCATTCTACAATTTTCATTGTACGGTATGTTAATTACTCTGGGTCAAAGAGAAAAAATATGCTTATAGATGTCCTTTGTTATATAATTCAACCTATACAGTTTCATTATAATATTTTATAACTGAAAAAGAATCAATGAAGGAAGAATACTGGAGTTTTTCTCCCATCCATTTTGGGGACAATGCTGGTCTGTTTATATGAGCTTTGGCACTAAACTTTCAAAAGTGATAGATGACCACCTTGCTGAACTTAACAACTGAAAGCAAAAAGTGTTTCATACCAACATATCTGTTTTTGCATTTTAAATGTGAGACTAGGCACACAAAAAGTTTAAATTAGACAACAATTAAATAGTGAGAAGGGGAGAAGGAGGGGAAGATGAAAGGGAAGGGGAAGAAGGAGGAAGAGAAGGCCACGATGAAAGGGGAAAGGATGAACTGGGAGGAGGAAGAGGAGGGAGGAGGAAGCGAGGCGCTGTCTCTATTAAGATGTTCTTTAGAAACAAAGATTCTTTATCACTTGATGTCTATCTCTATCGCTTTATCACTGAGAACAGAGACAGGAAGTTGATGTCCTATAACTTTTCCCCCTTTTCTTTGCAACTGCAAAGACTTTCATGTTTCTTTTTGGTTCCTGACTTTACAACTATGTTTCAGGCTGCATGGACAGATGCAAACATGAGTGAGACTTGCCCTTGCAAATGAAGTTTATAATCTAATAGGGACTAAGACTGCTTGTAGTGGGGAGGAAGCAAGCATATTAATAAATAAGATGTCATAGGTTGGAACAAAGTACCAAAGGCATTCAGAGAAAAGTAAATCACAACTACCTAGTAGGAGGGAGGGGAGTGATTCTGAGGGTATTTGCATTTGATTTCTATTTTGAATGAACACGATTTCTACACATATATCATTTAACATAATACCTTACACCTAGCAAATACTCAGTAAGTCATTATTGAACAATAATTGAAATTGAGGAGGGATTTAAGTAGAAAAAGACAGCATGAACAAAATAGGCAGAATTAAGAAAGGTCAACAGCTATGATTTTATACCATAGTGCCAGAATGTTTTGGGTGTCCAATGTTAACATGAATGTTAAGGGGTTTGCCCAAGATTTGATACATAAAAAGACAGCTCTTTAAGATTCCACTTCTAAAAGTGGTTGACCCTTCTGCCCCCTTCCCCCAAAATACACACACACACACACACACACACACACACCACCCCAACTACAGACTCTGGACAAACAAACCAAAATAAACCTATCTGAAGGAAGAATAGAGTGATCACAAGAAGGCAGATACTACAGGTAAAAGTCTGACACTTGAAGGAAGAAGGGAGCGGCATACTATTGGGTGAGTTTTTCATTCTCACAGCTTTTAGCCTGAGGGCAAGCCCTAAGGTAGTAGGGCTGACTAAAATCTAGTAGGGTATACTCTCTTACTGGCTTGAAGAACTAGAGGACAAAGATAGAGATACTCACAGCAACCGGAAAATGAGGGGAGATCCTAGAAAGGAGAAAACCTGACAGTGGGAGTCCCAGATATTATGTGTAAATTCTGCCCAAATCTCTGGTGACCTCTGAAGCTTGCATTTGTGGGGCAACTTCAAAAGAGCTTGCAAGTAAGGTTAACAGCCCTGCGATTTGAGAAGCTGCAGTGCCTAGGTGGCACCCACTCATGGTTTGACTCCATTTTCTCCAGTAAGAATACATGGGAATCAGTAATTAATCTCTGGCTGTGAAGCGTTGTTCTTTAGGCCACCCAACCAAGCTACTAAGAGATACAGTTTAGCTGCCAACCTTCCCTGATAGTGGAACACTGAAGGGGATGATCTTTTCAAGAGCAACAAGGTCAGCAGTTTTGTTATTCCAGCGGAATTCGATATGTTAATTCCAAAGAAGTCATTTATATTGTTTGGCCATAACATACCTTAGCATTTTATTTCCTCAGGATAATCTACTGAAACTAAAGCAAATAAGCAACGTGTTACCAAATGGCCTTAAGACCATCATCCATGCTTCACTTCCTTGTGCATCATCAGTGTACAGACATTCAGGTGTGTAAAGCTCTCCAGGTGTGTAAAGCTCTTTGGCTCTGGTGTCAGGAGCCTAGTTAGACTTCTGCAGAGTTAAGACATTTATTTGGGCAAGTTACTTAGCCTCTTTCCTCAACTTTAAAATGAAAAGAATATTACCTATACTCAAAGGCTAATTGAGAAGATTAAGTAGACTAATGTATGAAGAGCACTACTTTCCCCAGGGTATGGGTCCCAGCGGTCTCAACTAAAGTTGCCGAGATACTGCTATCCTCCCCACAAAGGGGACCTCCTCTCTGCATCCAGCCTCCATTTGGCTTCACAGTCTTTAGGAGGTTCTCAGACATGAAGGGATACCATACTCTTCTTAACAAAACACTTTCTTCCTACCTTGACATTCCCAACCTCTACCATTTAAAAAACAGAAAAGGAAACGCAACCTTTTCTTAAATCCAGGAAGGAGTTTTTGTATGTCTAGCAATGTCACCCTGTGCAAATGTTTGTTTAATATGCATGTTAATATATATGCTGAGTAGTTGGGCTCAAGTCTGGTTAGCTCACATTTAAACTGATTTTATTATATCTAAAGCTATCAGATTTGTTGTGGGTTGTTTTACCTTTCACCCATACTTAAGAATGCTCTGTCAAAAAATACCCAGCTCACCGATGAGTGTTGACAGAGGATAAAACAGAAACTGAGTCCTTTATTATGAAATACTTTATGAAACCGTAGCCATGCCTTTTGTTATAGATACTGTTCAACCTGAGAGTTCAGATACCCTCTAGGGCTGAGAGAAAAAAAAATCATTAAGGTTCACTTTCTTGCGAGCTTTTAATGCACAACACTAACTTTCAAGATGTCACAAAGGCTGATTTAAAAAATGCTGCTATAAAAAATATAAGAGAGATATAAATGTAAAGCAAACTAAATTTATGTAAATTTAGCTTTCCTAAATAACCCTGGCAAGATTCAGACTAGTGTTATTTTTTATGCTTAAATTAGATAACTGAATAATATAAATTACAATTCTTAAAACTTTGTGTTTATATAATAATCATCATAAGAACAAGGCTTGGGGTAGCTCATTCCTGTAATTCTAGCACTTTGGGAGGCTGAGGTGGGAGGATCACTTGAGGCCAGGAGTTCAAGACCAGCCTGAGCAACTTAGCAAGACCTCTTCTTTTGAAAAAAAAAAAATTAGCTGGGCTTGGTAGTCCCAGCCACTCTGAAGGTTCAGGCAGAAGGATCACCTCAGCCTTGGAGGTAGAGGCTGTGGTGAACCATGATTATGCCACTGCACTCTAGCCTGGGCATCCTGACAAGTGAGGCTCCGACTCAAAAAAAAAAAAAAATCGTAACAAAAATCTTTATTCTATTCTGGTCAAATAAATATCCAGATTAAGAATACTTTTTTGCCAGGCGCAGTAGCTCATGTCTGTAATCCCAGCACTTTGGGAGACAGACGGGAGAAGATTGCCTAAGCTCAGGAGTTTGAGAACAGCCTAGGCAACATGGTGAGACCTTGTCTCTACGATAAATAAAAAAGAATTAGCCGGGCGTGGTGGTGCACACCTGTAGTTCCAGCTACTTGGAAGGCTGACGTGGAAGGATCACCTGAGCCCAGCAGGTCGAGGCTGCGGTGGCCAAGAGCATGCCACTGTACTCCAGCCTGGGTGACAAGAGTGAGGCTCTGACTTTAAAAAATATATATGCTTTTTTGTTTTCCAGAGTAGAAAACACACAGGGGAGAATATCAGAATGATAGAGAAAATGAGTAGAAGAGAAAAAGGTATCCTGTACTTTGCCATCTACTATAAAAGTTCAATTCCAGTTGAGTCCTGAGTCTAAAGCAGATTTGGAAAGTGGCCTGCTGTGGGCACAGAACTGGGAGTTTCCCTTTTAGCCTCAAGTTTTTCCACATGAGGTGTGACTAAACCATTCAATCTTTTATTTAATTTCTGCTCTGTTCTATACACACTGGACTAATCCCTGGGATGAGTTCCTAGGTCTTAAAAAACATAAAATCTGAAGAGACAAGTAGCTATGTAAATAAATAATCATAATGTAATTTTTATGTGTTACACTAGACAGAATTGTAAAGTGTTACCTGCCTAAGAAACAAAGATTTCTAGAAATTCTAAAAATGGAATTACTGGCCCTTGGATGATGACACTCTTCATAATATTATCAAGTAGTTAATACATGGAATTTAACAATTAAGAATACTTTCTTTTACACCTCAAAACCACCATGTAGGATTACATTAATATTATTATCTCATTTTACAGATGAGTAGGCTCCAACTGTGTCCAGTATCACAACACATATAACAGTAGAGCTGAAACCTCATTAGAGGTTTTCTGACCTTAAATCTCTGCTCTTGTCACTAAGGAACTATCAAGTGTTACTGGATCAGTAGTGTCAACAGTGACTTTCACTTATTTTTATGGACTTAACCACTGTCAGTCCTGTGAACTTTTGTTGGAAATAGATGCCAAATATTAGTCTGCCTTGTGCTATCACACAGCAGTTAAATGACTCAAGTGCTAAAGTTTTACAGTCATATTTTCAACTCAAGGTCAAGATTGAACTTTTTGTAAATGAGAAGAACTGCCTTCAGCCTCTCTTAGTGGATACTGAATGGCTTTGAAGGTTAGGTTTTTGCTGTAGATATGATGATGTTTCTGAATAAATCCAACCCGAAATTACAAGGCAAAACAGTTCTTATATAGAAAACTTTTACTGCAGTAAAGCCATTTTGAAAACAAATGTTTAATCACAAGTAATGTCAGGTTGCTTTATACACTTCTTGTGCTGTCAGAAGGTAAAAGAAGAAGCAAGATCTTCCTACACAAATTTGCAGCAGATATACTTTCTGAGTTCAAACTATAGTTCTACAGTGTTTTACCAACCTCAATAAAAGGGCAAAGGAGATTTCCATATCTCAAAATCAACTGAATTATGCAATTAATGAGCTTCCACCTAACCTTCAATTGGAAGGCATTAATCTGCAATGAAATGATATGATAAAAGGCAAATATCAAAAGAGGAATCTAGCAAAATTCTGCAAATACCATCTAAGAGAGAAATATGCTCAATTAAAATTAGATGCTTATAGCATGATGTCAGTATTTGGCAGTAACTATGCATGAAAAGATGATTTCAATGATGAAATATAAAAATATCATTGCAGATCAGAACATTTTTACTCAGTTTTGATTAGATCACTAACTTTAAATTCCAATTAAGTGAAATGTTATCCCTCCAAAAGAATTTACTTTTTCTCATTAGTAAACCTGTATTACATAAAATTGTACTCAATTATTATTATATTTTGAATTCTATCAACACAATATTTGCGGAAATTTTTTTCCTCTGGCTGTATAAGCACCTACATTATATCCTCAACTTTGTGTATTTCTCTATATTAAATTTTACTATCCAGTTCCTTACAAAAAAAGTTTTCTGACTTCCTAACTCTAAATACGTTGTTTTCATATGATTCTGATGCTCACCTGGGCCTTGGCATCACTGATCTATAGTTATTCCATCCCTGATCCCATCTGCCATGAATCATCTCCAGCTGAAACCTAATATCCTAACTTCCAATAAAGAGGGACTAAGCAGAGGATGCCTACAGTTCAGTTGAGCAAGTCCCATTGGCAAAACTGGATAAAACCTGTAGGATTATTAAACAAACTAATTAAAATAAAATTGACAAAGGTCCCAGAGAAACAATTTTGGAAAACATAGGTATAAGTGTAGAAGAGGAGGAGAATATTATTTTCCTCATCTTAGTTACAAAGATACTCTTTGTATCTTTAATGAGCTAAAAACAGACCTTTTAAGTTATTGATTCATTCACAAATATTTACTGAGTACCTATTTATATAGGCCAGGCACTGTTCCAGTTGCTGGGAATACAGAATTGAACAAAAAAGACCCAAATCTCTGCCTTCATGAGCTCACATTTTAGGGAATGAAAAGCCATGATGTCTCTATAGAACCCCTTCAAAATAATCCAAGGATGTGAGCAAATGGCCTTAGAGTTTGAAAACTCAATTTGCCATTATAGGAGAGATGACTGGTGCAAATTTGAGACAAATTTCTGTAGCTGGTGTTGGCAAGATGAGGGAGTCCCTGATTATTGAAATCATTAGTAAATCAGATAAGTCGAGTACAAAGTTTGAGGCTAAGCCCTCAATAGAAAGTGACAGGGTTGAATGTGCATGTGTGTGGAAATGCATATAAAACAACTGAAGTAGCTGGAAAAAGGCCTTACAGAAACAAAGTTGAGACCACCCAGCAATTGCGAAGTACCCATTTGAGGTTGGTCATAAGTGATACCAGGCTGCCTGGCTGTTGTGTGATTTCTCGAACCATGCTCAGAGTTCATCCAGAGATGGGATTTTATTAGGTGTATCATGATAACCATGGAATTCAAATTGGATAAGGAAGAAAGTAAAGATAGGGGACTAACAGATGGAGAAAATGGTAGACTCAGTAGGTTAGAGGGAGGCTTAAGGAATCCAGGCCTCCAGAGAGGAAAAACATAATGAATAAAAGCTGGTTGAAGAGGAGAGAGGGCAGTTACAACTCTTTGTGTCTAGTAAAATGTCAACATCTTGAATCAATGGGATGAACAGGAAAGTGTGTTTCACACTGGTGTTGTAATTATTTTAGAAACTATAGATGTTTTATGAGCATAAACTTATAAATTAAATGATTTTAAATGTATTAGGAATTTCTGTTTAAAAGAAATGTAGTATATATTAACACTTAAAGCAAGAAAAAATCTTTACAATTGCTGATTGTACTTGTTTTCTCTAAGTTTGCATAGCTACATACATATTTTTCTTAGAGCAGTGTTGTTCTGTAATAAGGTTAAAAACAGTATGAGCTACTTCTATATTAATGCTGCATCAATTGGATTACACACAGATGAAGAGTTTCAGAATTTCACCTGGCATTCAGATGATGCCAACAGTCTGTCATGTGGCAGGAAGGTGGCCCCAGTGATCTCTCAAGGTCCATGCCATCTCTTTAACTTATTACATTTGTTCATTTGAAAAAGTGCCACTGTTCACTGGGTCCCCCAGTTGGTTCCCGTTGACAAAGGCAGCTACAGAAATTCAGCATCAATTTTCTACTGCCCCACTCATACCTTTTGGTATCCATCTTCTCCTTTTTCTTATTCAATCTTACTTTCAGACTGAAAGCTTAAAGCACAAACTTGGATTAGGGTAAATTATGGTGCTCTTGTGTTGAACATCACTTTTATCATTTTAGAGTTTTTATTATGAGTCTCAAATGCCATTGTGCTGTACATATTTTAAGTACAGGGAGTAAGTTTTCTTCTATTCTTGACTTATCACTAAATGTAAGTGAAACTTACTTTTCCTTTCCCTCTGGCATAGGCATACAATGTCAATATTCCATTAATATCAAGCATTACAGCAACTTCCAGGGATTAAGGTTAAAAAAGGCTTCTATAACAATAAAACGAAATCAACTTATCAAAATAGCCACCAGCTAATCTATAATTAAGATTTGCGAGGCACATTAAGATATACAATAAGAATGGCTGCCACACCATGGAACAGTAATGTGGGTAAGAGACAGAAATGTTAATGGGGAATTCATATTAGTAGGCTAAGGACAGACTTCAGAAGAAATTATCTTAGTTTTCACATACCTATCAGTACCAGGATCCAGGTAGAGCATCAGAGTCTTCTGACACCCATCACTGACAGCCTCTGTATTATAATGTGACTATTTAGGGGGAACACACAATTGGAGTGTGTTACAGTACAAAGAAGGCATTGACACACCTGCAGCACCGCCTAGTGCCTTTGACTGCAGTGGGCATAAGGTTAAAGGGGAAAGAATGGTGAAGAAAGAAGGGAGAGGCTGTATTCCTACCAGCCGCTGGCTATAAGTCAGTCATACCTATTGCTGGTTTATAAAACCATCTTCTTCTTCATCTTTCCTTCCAAAACGCTTAGCAAATTCCAAGGAAAAAATACCTCATCTGGCTAGAAGTTTGGGTCTTTGCCTTTGTACTCAACTTGTGTTCAGGAATAAAAACTTTTGCTGAAAGAAGACTCTGTGAAGGGGGAGAAGTAACTCACCACTCAGTTGCTGGGCTGCAGCCAGGCGGCTGGGCTTCAGGATGAACTGGCACTGCATTTCCCGGGGTAGCTGTTCCATGAGGAAGGGCTCTTGGAGGTTGAAAGGCGTGGTAGAGTCCTTTGAGCCTGGTGTCAGAAGTGCAGTGTCTCGAAGGTGGCTCATTTTAATTCCATAGGGATATTCATGCCCTACATATAGAAAAATCTAAATGTAGACTCAGGCTGATTGGTAGTGAGCATGCGTAATACAAACAGGAATATACTGCAATTTACACTTGGACTGTTTTTTTTTTTTTGTTGGAATTTTTGATGTAAAGAATCCTTTTGTTGACTGAGTAGCAGAAGTACTCTTACAGTTGAAGATTACTCTTTCAGTTGAAGAATACTGTATACTGTGGTCCTACCAAAGTAGTTTTAAGTTGGGGGCAGGGAGAGAAAATTGAAAGAAGAAAAAAATCTTTAAAGATTATCTCGTTTGGAATGAATGCATCAGTTTGTGAGTTACATACTGCTGACTTTTCCGATGCTTGCATCTAAGAAAGTTTAAAGGTAATCTAGTTTTTCCTTTGACAGTAACTGGACCCATAAATCTTCAGCAAATCCATGTCCTTTCTCAGTCTCAAATCCATGATTTAAACTATTTATCTATTACACAAGTATTTTAAGGATCAAATAAGTAAACATTAGTGGCTCATCTTTTAAAAAATTTATTTATGAAATTTAATGAAAACTTGAACTCCTAGTAACAAAGAATAGAATGGTGGTTACCAGTGACTGGGGGTGGGGGAAATGGTGAGATATTAGTCAAAGAGTACAAAGTTTCAATTATGCAGGATGAATAAGTCTAGAGATGTAATGCATAGCAGTTTATAACACTGTCTTCTTTACTGGAAATTTGCTAAGAGAGTATAGTTCAGATGGTCAGTCCCTGACAATAACTGAGGAACAAGCAGTGATGTGATTTCTGTTCTTTGAGTGGCCCATCTTATTTATTTATTTATTTATTTTTACCTTTAAATTTTAAAATTGTGAGGCACAATTCTGGGTTAGGTATACAAATATTCATTCTGCAGGTACTCTTGTTGGTCCATCTTATTTAACTAATAGGGACATATAGCTATAAATGTATACTAGTATACTATTATTGCCATTATCTAACATGATATGTCTGTCTGAAAAATGCATATAATTACTTTTTATTTTATTTGCTATATAATTAGTTACTCAACAGCACTGGGACTAGTTTGATGTAGGCTTCCCTCCCACTGCTGCCCTCTGAGGTTGGTGTCCTTAAGCAATAATCAGGAGGAAGACTGCAAGGGATCAGAAACGCAGAGACAGATGCAAAAAGGAATTAAAAAACCAGGAAAACTAAACTCCAGACATCTGACTACAACATGATTTTTGCTCTTTAGTACTCTAAATAATTGCATCCTTTTACTGTAATCCTCAAATACCATTGTGCTGTACATTTTTTAAGTACAGGGAGTAGGTTTCCTTCTATTCTTGACTTATCACTACATGTAAGTGAAACTCTTCCTTTCCACCTGGCATAGGCATACAATGTCAATATTCCATTAATGTCAAGCATTACAGCAACTTCCAGGGGTTAAGGTTAAAAAAAAATGCTTCTATAACAACAACCAAAAAAACCCCCCAAAATCAACTTATCAAAAATAGCCAGCAGCCAATCTGTAATTAAGATTTGCAAGGCACCCTTAAGATATATAATTAAGAATTGCTGCTACATCATGGGACAGTAATGTCCCATGTCCCATTGTTTTCCAGTAAAAGTTAGTAATGAAGTTTAGAACTGTTTTAGGTCTAAAAGTTACCATTTACACAATTTTAATTCAGTTAATATATATTATTAAAACAATGATTTTAGACATTTGATCTTTAATGGCAACTTTAATTGTTGCTCACTGACTTTTACAAAAATGACAGCATCAAACCCGAAAATGCAGTCAATTTTGTCTTCAGCCCCGTGCATGTTCACCTTCTATATCCTAAGTCTGAGCATATACATTCATAGAAAAGTCTGGTTTTAGATGACTCAGATCACTTGAAACCACTCTGAATTGCACAGTAATGACCTCACAGATAAATGAAAGTATTCCATGAGACAATACATGTAAATATGCCCTGCATAATGTCTGGCAGGTAATTAGTATTTTAAAATTGTTAGCAGAAATGATCATCATTATTATCGTCATCTCAAGCTCTGCTATAGTGTGCCTTATTTTAATGGTTTCATTTCTGTTAACCGCACTGAATGAAATTACTGATCAAAAAATATCTTTTAGCTAATTGCTTAAATAAGGTGAGGCATAAATACCAATAATTCCTCAAAACAAATGTTGGAAAATTTGGCTAGAGATATCGTAAAATAATTTAGTCAGTGAGGTAGAAAAGATTTTTAGGAGTCCAAATAGGTTAGTCTCATTTTTGAAAATGATGCCAAGGAAGCTGCTGGGTATAAAACAGGTGTTACATATTCACTGATGGATTAAGATACATGATTGAATTATAGATGGTCTTGCACAGAACCAACAAAGTAGGCAGGTAAGGGAACAGAAAATTCGAGAACTGAATATGAAAAATAAATGTATGGAGCAAAAGGGACAGTACCACATGTTGTTTTCTTATAGAAAAAATTTTAAAAGGTTTGCCAAGATAGCTCTGATTGTCAAACGAAAAAGTAGAGAGGAAAATTTAAACCCTTATTCCTAACTATATTCTTAGCTGTTTGTATGATAAGACATTATTTGTGTAGTACATAGTAAATGTTTGACAGATATTTATTAGATGATTATCTTATAACATTCAATATTTAATAGTCTTAAGCTTAAAACCCTATGACCAATTCTCTGAGACACTGAGAATTATAATTACAATACAATTAATGCTATTTTAGACTTTTGCAAACACTTACCAATGAGTGGGTATGGTGCCTCTTCTTTTCCAGAATTGACCCATAACTGGTAATCTCTCTCAGAACCCTTGGAGATAAAAGAATTAAAAGTCACAATAAATCTTTCACATTTGGTACCTGAAAGAGAACACCTTCTTTGATATTTTTATGCTTTGCAAAAAGAAAAGCTTGGGGACAATATAAATGCTATTTAGGTTCATGGTCATGGTCATGGTTTTTGAAGACCTCGGTGCAACTGATCTCTGTCTCCCTATCCCCAGTAGAGAACTCAGGAATACTGTTCTTCCCTTGGTTTCCCACCCCCCCAGTGATGGCTAGGGGTCTATGAACTACAGTGGAATCAAACCCTCACTATATAGGTAGTCCATGGAATGTGAAGTCATAGCTAGCCCCGTTTTCAAAGAAAGAACAAACTTCTGGTTCTAAATAGCTAATCTCTTTCTTAGAGTCCTGGCTTCTGCTATGTCTTTCCACTTCTCAGAGAATATTTGACTTAACCTCCAACATGCCCCTGCAAAGACAATTTTATTATCCAGAAAATCACAAACACTACTGTGTCTATGATTAATAAATAAATTCTCAAAGGCTTATTATTAGCTCAGCTGCTTCTGAGCAGAAGAATGATCAAGAGGTTTTGAGGAGATAGGTAATTGGCACAGTCTGCACTGGCTTTAGTTTGGGCAAGTTCAGTCCTGGGGACAAAGAGGACAAGAATTCTATCTAAAGAATAGGCCTAGTCAAGGAAAACAATAAAATTGTTCACTAGCAGAATTATAACCTAGCAACACTATAAATCCCACTTGAAAGAAATAATGCTAAATTATACAGATTTTCCTGAATCCTCTAGGAAAGATAAAACAAAACCATTTTAAATAAAACTAGAACAGATAAGTCTGTTGGCAAAATTTCATATCCTTGCCTTTGACTTCTGATTAAAAATCACAACCCTGCCCTTATAATGGAGAATGCCATATAAACTGCTCCCCCGACACTCAGTTTATTTGTTACTTTCTCCCTGCCCCCATGCCTTACCCCCCATATTTTGTTGTAAATGGGAAGAGCAATCTAATAAAAATCTTTTATTTTTATATAGTGTCTGAAAACACTAATAATCTCCTGGTTGTGGTATAACCAAATAGTATCAACTCCTAATAAAATTAACAGAATTTTTTTTTTGACCTGAGCAAGTTGGTCATTTTATCCAAGACAAAGCATAGATAAGAACATGATCAATAACTCAAAAACAACAGATGCTGGAGAGGATGCGGAGATAAGGGAACACTTCTACACTGTTGGTGAGATTGTAAACTAGTACAACCTCTGTGGAAAAAAGTGTGGCGATTCCTGAAAGATCCAACAATTGACCTTCTATACAACCGAGCAATGTCCATTCTGGGAATATACCTGGAGGAACTCAAATCACTCTATGAAAAAGACACTTGCTCACACGTTTATTGCAGCATTGTTCACAGCAGCAAAAACGTGGAACCAACTGTGCTGCCCATCGAAAGTGGATTGGATTAAAAAAATGTGGTACATATACATGATGGAATATTACGCAGTCATAAAGAAGGACAAAATTATGAATTTCGCAGCAACTTGGATGAACTTAGTCTATAATACTGAGTGATCTATCACAGGAACAAAGAACTGAGTACCATGTTCTCACTCATAAGCGGACTCTGAACAATTATCATAATACTATAAGAAAGGGATTGACAGTAGTGAGAAACTGCCAAGGGTGTGGGGGGGCACACTTCATCAAGAAGGGTACCTGATCTCAAACCAGGTGAAGTGGGGACCAAAGTGAGCCCCAAACTTTACCTGAATTGTACCCCACATCTTTAAAAAAAGAAAGAAAATGAATCATGTCATTAATTAATCACTATTCCTACCTCTAAAACTATCCACTCTCTTTCAAAATATATTCATGTAGGTTAGAAATCAATGCAGAGGTGCTTGCTTTTCCAGTGCGTAACTTTGATTACTTTAAAATATATTCCTAAATTTAATTACAAACAAATCAGATTTCTTATTGCAAACTTTTTTTTTTTTTTAAGTTGGGGTCTCACTCTATTGTCCAGGCTGGAGTGCAGTCACAGCTCACTGCAGCCTCGACCTTCTAGGCTGAGGTAATCCTTCTGCCTTAGCCTCCTGAGTGGCTGGGACAGGTGTGTGCCACATGCCTAGTTGGTTTTTTGACTTTTTTGTGTAGAGACAAGGTTTCTCTATGTTGCCCGGGTTGGTTTCGAACTCCCTGTCAAAGTGTTGGGATTATAGCTGTGATCCACTATACCCGGCCCTCCCTGAGTGCTTAAGGGCTTGCTATAGCACCGTACTTGAGCAAATCTAAAGATAATTAATAACACTATGTATGTCTCTAAAAATTGTGTTCTATTACATCATAGTAACAGTGTACTTTAATATTTATAGAGGATCTCATTCAAGGAACAATGTTTTTCAAGCTCTTCAGTTACCGTCCTTTTGAAAGTCACCACTTTTAATACAAATACTCATTGTGTGGTATTTATATAACTGGTAGGGAGATGATGACAAGAACCTTCCAGTTCTCTTTCCTCTACCTCATCCTCAAACACTCCAGTCTTCTCCACTACAAAAATTTCAAAAACTTACCTCTGTCACAAAAACAGCAAGGCACAGAGATAAAAGAAAAACAGGGAAAACCGTGGTGTACACACTGAAGCTCTTCAAATCCATGATCTAATTAATTCAACACTCGTCTTTTAATTCACCAGTTCATTAGAGGTACCAGCTATCCATCTCGTCTTCAGGACCTGTTGCCAGCCAATATGGCTTTATGTAAAAATTCCACTACAAGGCAAATCCTCCAGAATTCCTTAGGGTTAAGATTGATTGAGTCTTGGGATAATAGCAGGATAACTAGGTTGGGGAGAAAGTCAAACTGTGACAAATAGGAAGGGAAGAAAGAGGTTGAAATCATTTTATTAAGGATCTTCTTTAAGCCAGGCTCAGTGGCTCAGCCTGTAATCCTGCGCTTTGGGAGGCTGAGGTGAGTGGATTGCCTGAGCCCACGGGTTTGAGACCCGCCTGGGCAACCTGGGGAGACCTCATCTCTACAATAAATAAAAAAATTAGCCGGGCGCGGTAGCACGTGCCTGTAGTTCCAGCTACTTGAAAGGCTGAGGCTGCAGGATTGCCGGAGCCTGGCAGGTCAAGGCAGCAGTGGCCGGGAGCGGCCACTGCACTCCAGTCTGGGTGACAGAGTGAGACTCCAACTCAAAAAAAAAAGAATCTTGGTCTCACTCTGTTGCCCTGGCTGGAGTACAGTGGCATGATTACTGCTCACTATGGCCTCAAACTCCTGAGCTCAAGTGATCCTTTAGCCTCAGTTTCCTGAGTAGCTAGGACTAGAGGCATGCACTACCATGCCCAGTTAATCTTTAAAATTTTTTTTGTAGATACAGGTCTCGCTCTGTTGCCCAGGCTGGTCTTAAACTTCTTGGGGCAAGTGATCCTCCTACCTCAGTCTCCCAAAATGCTGGGATTACAGGCATGAGCCATCATGCCTGGCCAAATCTTATTAAGACTCATACTGACAAAGACTCCACTAACAACCACTGGGGAGAAGAGAATTTATTCAGTAAATGATGCTGGGAAAACTGGCTGACCACAGGAAAAAGATTAAAACAAGACTCCTACCTATCACCATACACAAACATTGACTCTAAATGGATCAAAGACCTAAACGTAAAACCACAAACTATAAGAATCTTAGAAAATGCAGGAGACACCCTTATGGAAATTGGAACTGGCAACCAATTCCTGATCAAAACCCCAAATGCCTGTGCCATAAGAGATAAGATGGGGGACCTCATTAAACGGAAAAGCTTCTGCAAAGTCAAAGAAACCATCAAGAGAGTGGGGGAACAGTCTATAGACTGGGGAAAAATATTTGCCAACTGACTATCTGAAAAAGGCCTGACATCCAGTATCTACAAGGAACTCAAACATGCTGAAAAGAAAAAAAAAACAGTCCTATTAAAAGGTGGGCAAAAGATATGAATAGACACGTCTCAAAAAAAGACATATGTGCAGCCAACAGATACAGGAAAAAATGCTCAGCCTCGCTAGTCATCAAAGAAATGCAAATTAAAAGTACACTGAGATACCATCTAACTCCGGTCAGAATGGCCATCACCAATAACTTAAAAAGCAACAGATGCTGGAGAGGATGCGGGGAAAAGGGAACACTTCTACACTGTTGGTGGGAGTGTAAACTAGTACAACCTCTGTGGAAAACAGTCTGGCAATTCCTAAAAGATCTGAAAGTTGACCTCCTATATGACCCAGCAATCCGCCTACTGGGGATATACCCGGGGGAACTCAAATCATTCTATAAAAAAGGTACCAGTGCACGCATGTTTACTGCAGCACTCTTCACAATAGCAAAAACATGGAACCAACCGTATTGCCTACAGAAAGTAGACTGGATTGAAAAAATGTGGTACATATACATGATAGAATATTACACAGCCATAAAGAAGGAAAAAAATTATGAACTTCGCAGCAACTTGGATGAATTTAGAGTCTGCAATACTCAGTGATCTATCACAGAAATAAAGAACTAAGTACCGCATGTTTTCACTCATAAGTGGACCCTGAAAAATTATCATAATACTTACGAGAAAGGGATTGGCAATAGTGGGAAACTGCCAGAGTTGGAGGGGGCATACTTTATCAACAAGGGTATCTGATCTCAAACCAAACTGAAGCCCAAACCTTACCTGTACAATGACCATTTGTATATCTAACTCTGAATTGTACCCTACATCTTTAAAAAAAAAAAAGTAAAAAAAAAAAAGACTTGTACAAAAAAAGATTGTATATGTATATGGCATATACAATAAAATACATATTAGCACTCTGAAATTATAGTCCAATCTTAATATAATTTTCAGTTCACACAGGTTTCAAAATAGGAGCAGAACAACAGCACCCATTCATTAAGCTATATTAAAACTTTAATGTCCTTATTTACTATATTTTGGAGAACATACCATGACTTTGGTATTTCTAACCAGCTGTCTTATGATTGAAGAAAAAATATTTCATAAATTTTAATTATCAAAGTTTGTTTTTAATTAAGAATATCTAGCAGAGTAACTTACAGTTATCCCTAGCATTGGTAATGACTTGCTGATAACTTCATTCGCTGTATCTGAATTCATTACTGTTATAGTTTTAGACTGTAGAAAAAAAAAAGAAATAAGAAATACAACTATAAATAAAGAACTTTAGGACAGGTGAAGAAATAATCATTGTAAAATAATTATCCAAAGGCAAATCTTGATTTCAAATGTGGAGAGAGTTTAAGCACAAAACTTAGGTAGAACACAAACCTTTGACTATAATTTGATTTACTTGCTTTCTCTTATACATTATGCCCTGTAACAAACATTTCTTTTAAAATAGAGGTTGCCTGGCTTATGAAATCTAAAAGCTCAAGCAAAAAAAGAAAAAAAAAGATGATATTTCAGAGTGAGTACAAGGACCCAGCTGCTAGTGGAAAAAAATTTGGTGAGGCTGGCCTCTGGCTCATTTCCATAATGGAAGAGATAATTTTAAAAAGGGCATGAGCTGAATCTCCTTCTATTTCTTTCTGAGTAATGTTTTCACAGTATGAGGTTTTATTTCTTTGGTATAAAGTCAGTTTAGGTAAAATTAGACTAACTGGTTACAAAAGACATTTAAAACATATAATCTAAAAAAAAACACTACTTATTGAATATTTCCTATGTGACCTGCACTGTGGCTACTAATATTTTCATTATGAAATCTTTAGAGGACTTAAAATCAATAAGTCTAGAAGAAATAACTGAAAATTTTGCAAAGTCCAAGACTATTACAAACTCTGCCAATATGGCAAACACAATATCTATAATAGTTCTGTGCTAAACTACATTGAGAATTGCTTCTTAAAAATAGAAAGACAATTTGCAACAAATAGAAAAGGAGTCAACAAGACTCCAAGATACCTACAGAGCCCGCTGTATTCCAAAAGATATTATTTAAATATATAATGTTAAGTCATCAAAAGAATTTTTGCTATGTACATAGGTTTTATGTGATAATTATAAGATAAACCAGCAATTAGGGCTGTACGCCCAATAGAGAAGTCTTAAATGGCACAAATAAGTAGCATAAATGGAAACAAAGATAAATGTAAAAATAAAGTTAGGTGAAATTCACGGATAATTCTCACTTATCCTTCCATTAACTTCTGGATGTGGGGAAAAGGGAACACTTCTACACTGTTGGTGGGAGTGTAGACTAATACAACCTCTGCGGAAAACAGTTTTGCGATTCCTAAAAGATCTAAAAATTGATCTTCTATACGAATCCCACAATCCCCCTACTGGGAGTATACCCAGAGGAACTCAAATCACTCTATGAAAAAGATACCAGCACAAATATGTTTATTGAAGCGTTGTTCACAATAGCAAAAACATGGAATCAACTGTGTTGCCCATTGAAAGAGGACTGGATTAGAAAAATGTGGTACATATACATGATGGAATATTATGCAGACATAAAGAAGGACAAAATTATGAACTTCACAGCAACCTGGATGGACTGAGAGTCTACAATACTGATCTTTCACAGAAACTAAGAACTGAGTATCACATGTTCTCACTCATAAGCAGATGTTGAACAATTATCATAATACTATAAGAAAAGGATTGGCAGTAGTAGAAATCTGCCAGGAAGCAGGGGGTCACACCTCATCAACAAGGGTACCTGCATAATGAACATTTGTATACCTAACCCTGAATTGTACCCCACATCTTTAAAATAAAACATTAAAAGTAAAAAAAAAAAAATTGTAAGGCTATAAAAACAAAATGAAACAAAAAAAACACCAAAACAGTATTTCTTCCCTAAGAGCCAGTTACTTGACTTGACAAATAGCCTTGAAAAGTTCATTGAACTTTAATTTTTTAAAAAAGCATTTCAAATGCATTGATTTCAAATTGTGCTCCTCATATACCCAAGGATTATGCAGAGCCCAACAGAAAGGGTCTGGAGCATCCAACCCAGTGTCTGCTTTCCACCACAGTGTCATGGTTATATCACAGACTGGGCTTTAACTTGAGATATTACTTTTTTTAAAGGCTTCTGCATTTAAAAAAAAATTAATCTGAAACCCTTTCTTTTTCATTTACAGAAATTCTCTCATGAAGGCTTTTGTAAAGTGAAGAACCTGTCCTCCCAATTACCTGGTTTCTAAGATAATGGTACTAGGAATGTATGTTCAACACAATAATTACAGAAAGCATATTTTTCCTGCACGCCTTTCTGGTAGACAAAACAAATGAATTTAAACAAATAGAACTCTTGGCTGGTAAACAAATAAAAAGCAAACAAAACTGAACATTGACATTCTGTTTCAAATTAGCAGAAATCACTGACAGGTTGTATGTAATTAAAGAACAAAGGTAACACTTCTCATACACACACTCCTATTTGGGGAAATAACTCTGGAAGGTTCCTTGAAAGACAGTCTTGTCATAAAAAGTTACTTCAGAGAGCAAAGAGCAGAATGGGTCACATCATCCTTGACTTATCTAGGGTACCAAGGATAAAAACAGAGCACCCAACCAGACCACATCTCTTGTCCTCTCTTCCAAAATGGAGTGAGACATCAATCCTTTCTTAAGCACACACTTTCCATACACTGAAAAAAAGTGTTAAGAAATTCAAGGGATTTTCCATGAAAATCCTGAATATAACCAACTGCCACAACTGAATCAAAACAGAAAGAAATAACAATGTTGTTTTTTTTTAAAACTTTGCTACAGGAGATCTCTGTAGTTTCATACCATAAAAATTTGAGCATTTCCCTCAAGCAGTGACATCTGGCATTCAGGAGCTGGACAGAATATTTGCATAACTTTTGCTTTTGGCCAAAACATATCTGTTTTGCAGTACATATTTTCCCACACGCAAATAAAACGATTCTGTATGATCTAGAGCTGCTGGGAAGTATGACAATCCACAGTATCACAAAATATTCCTACGTTTCCATCTTGTTCATTATTGATAACATCTTGGCTCTGGTAGTACAATTTCAGTCATCAAGTTTTACATAATAACTGGGGTTAAAGACTTAATATTTATTTGATAATTTGATCAACGCTGTGAGGTAGTGAAATGTGGATTCCTCGAAAGTGCCACCTCTCCCCGATCCTCTACCTACTAACCCGATGGATTAAATCCCTAAAAACTCAAAGAACTTTTCAAAACCATTCTCTACTTAAGAAGTGACAAGTTGGAAGAAAAATTTGCTTAGCAATAATAGGAAATACCTCCTTGTGGAAATAGCTTTACTACAAGCTTCTGCAGCTGCTAGTGAAAGAAATAGTCACGCCAGAGGGAAGAAAGAGACTTCGGACAAGCAATGTTCTTTCCAAGCATAAATATTAAATATTGTAGTTAATATGGCTTTTTCTTGCTTTATTTTTTCTAGGGATTACTCTTCATATATACAAAGACAAACATACACTCAGGAAAATGCATTTTCCCCCTATAGTGTTTCTGTCTTTCTTTCTTTTTCTTTTCTTTTTTTTTTTTTGAGTTGGAGTCTCACTTTGTCGCCCAGGCTGGAGTGCAATGGCACGCTCATGGCCACCTGCTGGGCTTAGGCGATCCTTCCACCTCAGTCTTCCAAGTAGCTGGAACTACAGACACACGCCACCACGCCCAGCTAATTTTTTCGATTTACTGTAGAGACGAGGTCTCACCAAATTGTCCAGGCTGGTCTCGAACCCTCGGGATCAGGCCATCCTCTTGCCTCAGCCTCCCAAAGTGCTGGGATTACAGGCTGAGCCACCACGCCTGGCCAGTGTTTCTAAATGCCTAACTTTCCCCAGCACATACACTGTCTGCCTGCCCGCCTGTCTCACTCTCTTAATCCATGGTGTTCTGCCTTATACAGGGTCTTGGAATTTAATTTTCTGGCTTAGAAACACTTACATAGGCACAATTCCCAATGTCCTTGGCGAAGATTTTGAGGGGAATGCTCTTCGGGTAGTCCTTCTCTTTCTCTAGATTGATGTATCTAATCAAATGCAACAACAACCCAAAACAACACTGAGTCAGATGGAATTCGCTAATGTCTTATTTTTTAAAATCAATCTTGTTTGCTAATATTATCAATATACTCGTATGCTATTTAAAAAAAGACAGATGAGGAGACTCAGCAAAGTCAAATTACATTATGGGTTGGAAGAGAATAAAAAAATTCAGGACATTAGCCATGAGCACAAAAAAGAATGGGACATCCTTGTCAAGAGAGGCACCTCTGGGTAATGTTTTTTTACCCTCAAATCTTTCCTGTCTTCTCTAAAAAGGCCCAGCACCTACTAATAAATGTAGGAGTATAATATAATACTTTGCAAGGCCGAATCAAAGCAATGGCTTTTATTTCTCATTGAGATCTCCAGCAGAGGGTTAATTGTGGGTATTCCATATCTTGGGGAGGAGGAGAAGAAAGGAAGGAGGGAAGGACTACATGGGTCTAACAGATAATCCTAAGTCAATCATTTTCGTTTGTATGCTCAATGGTAAGAATAATTGTTTTTGAGGTGCTCAGCAGTAAACCCTGCATTTATGGATACTTAATAACATACGATGAGAAAACTGTTAGCTCCAACTGGTAGGCTGGAGACAGTGGAAAGAGATGGGAGGATTTCTGACTAATTTCTGTCTATAATGATCTAACTAGATCTCAATGTTCTCCTTCCTAGAAAGTAAGAAATGAATGTAATAAGAGAACACTATTTATGTAAGTAGTAGCTAGTGTGCAATCTAAACAGCAACTTATTGAGGACAAATGATCAATTTCTGCTGTGGGGAAGGGTAATCGTTTGGGGCCCATCTCTGCAGAAAAGGTCTTAAATCATTTATTACAGAATAAACATTAAAAATACGTATACTGAAAAAATACCTCTGAAGGAGAGAGAGCCATTTATCCTTTTGTTCAGGAGAACTGCAATCAAAGAAAATGAAAGAGAAAAATTAAGCCACATAAAATAATTACACTAACATATTTACATTCGCCAAGCCAGATGAAAAATAGTATATAATAGTATATAATACAAACAGCCTTTTGTCATTGGTGTAGTTGTACACATAAGTTGCAACTCAGCATAAGTGTGTTCTGGAGAACTCTGCAATTTGGAAAAACTACACACTACACAATCAAGAAGCAGTTTTATGAAATCCTCTTGGATGAATCCAAGACAAATCCTCTTTTATAATACAAGTGGTATTATAACAGTGGGACACAGTTCTTATAGTGGAAAGAAAACTTGATTTGGAATCCATCACTCAGTTTCAAAATTATATGCAAGCTAGATGATCATGAGAAAATCACTTAACCTTTAAGTCTCAGTTTCCATATCTGTAATACTTATTTACTCAATGTGTTTTTGAAGTTAAGGGGCCTTACAAATAGAAAATATGTTTAGTGCTGAGATTAAAGATAAATTTGGCACATGGATAAAAATATCAAGAAAATTTTTTAAAAATACATAGAACAGAATTATAATTTAGCAAATTCATTCACAGAAAACTTATTCTTAATAATTGTAACCATCTGACTAAGACTAATTTATTTACCACTAAATTACTATTGATTAATAATTTTATGCTGATTTCATTGTTACATTTAATTTTTAAAGTTAAAAATAATTTAAAATTTACTCCTATATAATCCTGTCACTAACAAATTTTTAAAAATCATATTTCTAAGTTGTGTGCTGTGGTTCATGCCTAATCCTAGCACTTTGGGAGGCTGAGGTAAGAGGATGCCTGAGCTCAGGAATTTGAGACCAGCCAGGGCAACGTGGCAAGACCTCATCTCTGTCAAAAAAAAAAAAAAAAAATTGACAGGAGTGGTGATGCACGTCTATAGTTCCAGCTACTTGGGAGAATGAAGTGGAAGGATTGTCTGAGCCCAGCAGATTGAGGCTGTGGTAGCCATAATTATGCCACTACACTCCAGCCTGGGCAACAGAATGAGATTTTTACTCAAAAAATTATTTATTTCTAATCTTTGTAAAGAACCATAGTTATTTTCTTGTTTCAAACAATATAGTTATTTATTACCTTTGTTGCTTAGCAGTTTTCTCCATAAGTAATCTCCTGGGATTGGCCATCAGAAAGTGCATTACATTTTTTTTTTAATCACTGATCATACAATTTCTATCTTTCACAATTCCTTACTATCTTTTGACATATTTGCTTTCCTAAAACAGATTTTCCAGGTTCATTTATGTCAAATTTTGGATTTATTTAGCAAAAATCTGTATTAAGAAATAGATAAGTTTTCTTCAGACCTGTTAATTCTTTTCAAAGCAGTTACAAAATATTGCTCCTTTTAAGACAATTAGTATTTTTCTTAACTTTTAATTAACATATAAGATACAAAGAGGAAACTGCACAAAGCTTAAGTAAACAGTTTGGAGTATTTTTACAAATTAAACACACTGTACCCAGATTATGAGATAGAAAATCACCCTAGAAGGTCCCCTATGCTCCTTTCTAGACAGTAGTTCCCACTATCCTGACTTCCAACAGCACAGAATAGTTTGTTTTGTTACTCTATATAAATATAACCATACAGTAGTTACTATTTTGTGTCTGACTTCTCTCAACATTATGTTTGTGAGATTTATGTACTTTTAGATCATTCATTCTCCTTGCTTAAAAGTGATCCACTGTTTCAATATATAGCAATAGTACTACAAAAATTAAAAAGCGCATCAGGTTAATTTGTAGAGAATGATTTGTATAAACTTCTTTATATTCTCCTTTCTCTCTGCTTCAAGATCCCTTTCTTTAGAAGCTCTTAATCTCAGGCATTTTTACAGAACTAAAAATAGATGTACCTCAAAGTCAATGGCTATCTTTTCGTTTCATAAATACCTAAGCCTATTAAAAAAGGACAGTAATATGATCCAGGACAGGGGAAAGCAGTGTATCTTGGAGAAAGAAAAAGGCATGGCAGACTTGCATATCCTCTCAAATTCTGGAGGAGACAGAGGCCTGTCATCCTTGAAAGTGAGCTGGGAACCATGTCATTCATTCCTTTAAGGAGTCCTAAGGAAACAGAAAGAAACCAGAGGAAATGGTTTTAAGGAACAACTAGGGAGGCTGGGTCCTAGGCACCAAGGTTTTTATATCAGCAAAGATACCTGCATCATACATGTAACAAATAAGCAGATCATCTCTGGATGTACAGTGACAATTCTGGGTACAGAAAAAGATGATGTCAGCAGTGACCATAATAAACTGAAGGTCAGAAGCCTCTGAAGGCATCTTAGACATCTCTTGTATTCTGGTTTTATTTTAAGATAACGGAGTTCTGGTAAAGAACAAAATGATTTCCTACTAGCCTGGCAAAATGAGGGTTTAAATTGTGTTTTAATTTATGTATAAATAAACAGGCATACCTGAGTCTGTAGTCTAAGATTCACAGTACGTACTTAAGTTACAATATTATTCTTCTGATTCCTCTTGTAGACATACCATTGCCAGATTTAAGTACTTCCTGTGTCTTTTGAACAATGTTCCATTATATCATTATCTGTAAAATCAAGGTGTAGCTCCTATTTTTCTGGTAGATATGGATGCTAGGTTTGTGAATCAGAGTACATGTAGTGATAAAGATATGAAATTCCTTTTGGTCTTTTTTGAGTTGTGATCATCCTGTTTTCCAAGATAAAGCATGGAAAGTTCACATTAATTGTCTGCTGACTCTCCAGTTTGACTCAATTGGGAGTTTCTCAAAGATTCTGGCAGTTGTCATTCTTAGATTTCAAGGCTATTTAGTTTTCTTTCTTTCTTTTTTTTTTAAGAGATGAGGTCTCACTCTGTCGCCCAGGCTGGAGTGCAGTGGTGTGATCACAGCTCACTGCAGCCTTGAATTCAAGGCTCAAGCAGTCCTGCTGCCTAGCCTCCTGAGTAGCTAGGATTATAGGTAGTGCTACTTCACTCAGCTAATTAGAAAGAATTTTTTTAGAGATGGGGTGTTGCTATGTTACCCAGGCTAGTTTAAAATTCCTGCCCTCAAGTGATCCTTCCACTTCAGCCTCTGAGTAGTTGGGATTATAGGGACAAAGCGACATGCTTCACTACTTAAAAAAAAAGTCATTATAGTAACATAGAGGAGATTGAGCTTCTAGCCTGATGGCATTTTCAACTAGTCATGACCTAGATTTCCCTAATACTTACCTATATATGTATAATTAATTATATATTGCATCTATTTATAACATATATATAATTTCCAATGGTTATCAACCCTTCCTAAAGATCTGAGCTTCCATCCTACATTTCACTTCAGCCTGAAAAACTTTGTTAACATTTTTTCGTAGAAGAGCTCTTCTGGCAATAAATTCTAGTGTTTTTTTTTTTTTAATCTTTATTTCACTTCCATTATTAAATAATATTTTTGCTGGGTATTGTATTTTAGGTTGAAAGTTTTTCTTTCAATACTTTAAAGATGTTCCACTGCTTTGTAACCTAATACAGAGTTCACAATAGTTGAAATTGTCATTTTAAAAATATTTATAATACATTGTTTTTCTCTGGCTGCTTTCAAGATTTTTCTCTTATCTTTGACTTATACTAGTTTGTGTGTGACATGAGAAGGTGAAATTTTCTTCATACTCATCTGGTTTGGAGTTCACTGAGCTTCCTGAATCTGTATGTTTATGCCCTTTACCAAAATTGGGAGGTTTTTAGCCCTTTTTTCTTCAAATATTCCTTCTGCCCCATCTCCTTTCTTCTCTTTCTGGAATTCCAATTACATGTATATTATACATTTTGATATTTTCCCACAAGTCCCCGATACATCACATTATTTAAAGTCTGTTTTCTCTGTTCTACAGATTGGACACTTTGCATTGAAGGTATGACGTATCTTCAAATTCACTAACTCCTCTTCCATTTTCATTCTGTAAGGAATTTCATACAGGAGTTTTTTAATTTAAGATATTGTAGTTTTCAGTTTGAGAATTTTCATGTGGCCCTTTTTCACATTTTCTGTTTCTCTTCTGATATTTACTATCTATAGTCATCAATTTCAGTTGTATTTTCCTCTTGCATACCAGGCATACTTATGAAAGCTGCCTTAAAATTCTTTTCTCAGGATTGGTCTTTATTGATTATTTCTTTCTTTATTCTTCATATGTCAAGACATTTTAGATTGTCTTCTGGATGCTACAATTTTTTTGTTTTGGATACTCTACATTCTGTTTTATTTTCAAAACTGTTGATGTTTTTGTTTTAGAAGAAGATCAACTTGGTTAGATCAAGCTACAAACTCTATCTCTCTTGTGGTGGACAGCAGTGGCTCAGTTTAGTTCTTTTAGTACTAACTTCAAGTTGCTTTGGGTCAATTCCATGCATGTGGGGTTCAGTGATCAGTCAGAGACCTGAGCAGTGTCTGTATACAAGAGAGTGGTGCTTTTTGGGAGCTTTCCTTCTCTGGTACATTTCTTGTTGAGACTTTCTCCCTCAAACTGCAATAGCTGTGGTTGACCTAGACTATACTCTAGTTCTTCCGCCCATAAACGTTGAGGGTTTTTTCTGAGCTTTAGTTGCCCTACACTTTAATGTGACTGCAATCACCTCTCAGGCTAAGACCTTAAAAACAGGAAACTCACTCAGTGTCAATGCTTTCTTCCAAGTTTTAACTCCTCTCTAAAATACCTCACTCTGCCATACTAGAGGCAGAACTCGTCAACAATTTACTTAAAAAAAACCCCAAAAAACTAACAACTTAATTTTCAAATAATTCCTGAAAAGCTAAAGAGAAAATCCAGAGAGTCCCTGTATACTTCTTACCCACTTTATTTCCTCTAATGTTATCCTCTTACCTTATCATGGACCATATGTCAAAACTAAGAAACCAATATTGGCATATTACTAAATTTTTAACTTTATTCAGAAAGTTTAACTATACTTTTGACTTAATTCAGATTTTACTGGCCTTTCATTAATACCCTTTTTCTGCTCTAGAAGCCAATCTAGAATACCACATTACAATGAATTACATTTCCATAGTAACTGATCTGTAACAGTTTCTCAGTCTTACCCTGCTTTTGTTTTTTGATCTTGACAGTTCTAAAGATGACTGCTCAGGTGTCCTGTAGAATGTCTCTCAAATATTTTCCTCACATTAGACCAATGTTATGTGGGTTTTAAAGAAAGACTACAAAGGTGAATTGCCCTTCTCATCACATTATATCAAGGAGCACATAATACCACATTGAAATCACTGGTGATGTTAACCTTGATCACATGGTTAAAGAATCACAATTTGAGCAATGAATAATATGGAAAATTTATTTCCACATTTCCTCCTCTTCTTAAAAAAAATATCATGGAAATTCCTTGATTAAAAATGTCATGCAGTCATACCCCTCACTTGAAATTGCTTCCTTTCACCTGTACCTCCAAGGAGATTAAACAATAGGAAATAAATATGTATATATCAGTCATGGAAAAGAAGATTAGTTGAGAATGATACAAACATATGTTTTTTTTCCAAATATTCTTAAAAACCTCTGGTAGGTCAAATAGCACATAATAGAATTTTATGACACACCTGTCTTTTGATAGAAGATTAATGGCTTGGAAAATTTTAGTTGTTTGGCTTTAGGATGATGTCTGAGGAGTTTTACTGTGGTGGGAAGAGAAGCAGAATGGAAAATATCATGTGCATGTGATGGACACTAACTCTTTAAGTGTAAACCAAATAATGGAGCTGAGACAGTTTTCCAAAATTACAGCTGTGAGTTTTGGTATACTAATCGTGAAATGCAAAGTGCCAACTAAGCATGTTCAGGATAAGAGGACAAACAATCTGTATTTGTGCATTCTCCAACACTTACCAGCTTAGGAGTAAGTCTTGGGAAACTTCAAATCATCAATTTGCTTTTGACTGTCCCATTTCTATAGATCCCAACTCAGAACTTGATGCACAATTCAGGCAACGCAGTATTTCAAAACGTTAATTTTATTTGAATAATAAAAGTTATTTTCTTTAGGAAATTTGGGAGTATAAACCAGTTATGCAAACTTAATTAGACCATAACATTTGCCTCAGCGAAGGTTTATTTCAGTGGTTTGAAAAGAATGGTAAGACTTGAAACCCCAATGTATAAAACAAGCACCTAGATAATAGGGAAGGGGATGTCAGAGAAGGGTCCTAAAAGAGCTGATGACTGTTCTTCTTCCATACTCCTGGAAGTTCCATTCCCCCTGGCTGTTTCAGTGGAGCCCCTTTAAAAATCACTGGTCAGACCAAGGTAAATGACACCAAGAGTTCTCAATGTTTACCAATGAGGTGCACATATTTTAATCAATAGTTCTTTGGGAGAAACATAAGGCACATTAGTATCTTGGTTGGGTATATGTGTCAAAAACGGACTTGATGCACAATCAGAACAAAATGTTATCCTTTTTAAAAGTTAAGGGAATGAAATCTGATTAAGTTTTTTCTCTCCGTCTTAGACATGATCATAGTAGCGAACCCACTCAAATACAGGACAAGCTCTGGTCTTACCTGAAAGTGGCCACAAAGTTCACTGTGGGCCAGCCCAAAACAAAGGACTTCATGGCGTTGGTGTTGCCTTCTCCCACTTCATCCACACAGCTTGCTGTCCACATATCAGTTAATTTAATTTTATTTTTTATCTTAAAGTTATTGTTATATCTAGAAAGATAAAAATGAAATAGGACCTCTTGCTATTTTGTTTCTTAAATTTTACAGGCGCTTCGGTACTTGTTATAAAAGAACAGTTTTCACTAATCATGGGCAAAAGATCTATTCATTGTTTTTATCTTCAGTGCCTAGCACAGTAAACTGAAAAAGGGTTGGCTGTGTTCGCCCAAGAAGACCTTTGAAACATTCAATGAAACATTTAGCACTCATACCTGCACTTGTGGCAGGGAACAGCCATAAATTGGTCACTTTAATTTTTAGAAATACAGTACTATATTTATAGTATGTTGAACATTTCATTTGGATCAAAAACCTAACTTCAAATTTACTGCTGCTATAAAAATTAATGAAATTATTATTTATAACTTGCTTATTTCCAAAAAGATTTAAGTGGCTGAACACACACACACACACACACACACACACACACACACACACACACACAATTTATTAAGATGTTTATACAATTTTCATTTTAAGAGAGATATACCTTAAAAAAAAACCCCTGGAATTAATTAGAGGAATTTATAATGTATTTTCTATTAAGAGGTTACAAGGTTCCCTAGTCTTTAGAAGCATAGGTTATTTAAAATTTCCTTTTTTAAGATTTCGTTCAATTATTTCCCCTTATATTCTGGCTGAAAGTGAAGAACTGCAGCCTAAAAAAAAAAAAAGAACCTAAACCAAACTTTAAAAAAAGAGTAAGACTGACATAATTAACATACATCTCTGGGAACTCAGAAAGGTGATCTACTTTAAGTCAGCAGTGAAATTGCTTTTTGACAATTGCTAACTAACCCCCTTTAGACCCCTGATATGAAAACCGCCATATCTCTTGATCTAATTGACAGATTTAATGCTCACTTGGACCTGAGACTCAAATGAAGGATAAAAAGAATGCTCAGGAAAACTTGGGTACTTCCTAGTATTCAGAACCATTTGTGTAAACACTAAAAGCTAAAATGAAATCAAAGATACCTTATATGGAAGCATCCCTAAAATACCTTTGATTCATGAAATATTTAAAACTAAAACTCTAGTGGAATTTGTAAGATGAAAAAGAATTTTGCAGGAACTGTACAATGAAGGATAACCTATATTCAAAACCTCATTTATGCTTTCCATAGGCTGCACTGAATTTTAATGTAATAGAAACAAGTCTTGTGGCGCAATAGCTTTTTCTATAATATATTTCAACATTTTCACCCTATTGCTATGACTCTTTAGGTTCTTTATAAAAAAGACTCAATTATAGACCAAGTCTTATTTCTTAGCTGCCAACTATTTAGGTAATATAAAACTGAAACTACAAATCTTTTGGAAGGAAAGCTATCTTTCCATATTTGTTTTCACACATTTTGTGTCTTCCAATGCAGGTCTTTATCTATGTACTTCAGATATCATGTGGGGACAACCACATCTATTGACCTTGGAAAAAAGTTATTCCAATGATCCTTTCCTTAGATCAATAAAGTGCCAATATTATCCTCCCCTAGTGTCAAAAAAAGGAATTGTCTAAAAATGTAAACAATGATTTCCATTCTCCTCTACTAAAAATAATAGCTAATATTTGTTGAGAACTTTATCATGTGCGAGTCATTGTTGTGAATACTTAACATACATATTATATAGTTTAATCCTCAAACATGTTATAGATAAGGAAATGGAGTCAGAGAGAGATTAACTTGCCAAAAGTGAAAAGTTAGGAGAGCCAGAATTTGGACCTGGACAGTGTTGACTCCTGAGTTTACTTATATTCTTAACCACTATGCATCTATAAAAAGCCCCGGAGACTTCCATTCCTATCAAGCATGGATGGAAGTGTCGTTCCATAAAGTTTCACTCAGCTTTTCTATCTTCTGCCAACTTTAAAAAAATCTCTCTAGGGCTGCAAGGTTTTCTGATGTGGCTGTTTGTTAGGAGAGTTGGGGTAGAAATCTCATGAACATTTATGTACATAAAGCTAGATAGGCTAGTTTGAAAATATTTCCGTTTTCCAATAAAGATGTATATTAAAATGGACAGACCTGGGGTCATAGTGTACTTCTTCATATTTTTCACTCTCAATCTCCAATAGTATTAGACTACAGAAATTAAAATTTTCCATATGAATTTAATGCAAACTGACTGAAAAAAACCCTAAAAAATAAATTATTTGTGTTTACAATATAGTTCCTTTCTTTTTTTTTTTTTTGGAGTCTCACTCTGTCACCCAGACTGGAGTGCAGTGGCTGCTCCCGGCCACCGCAGCCTCAACCTGCTGGGCTCCGGCGATCCTTCCGCCTCAGCCTTCCAAGTAGCCGGAATTACAGGCATGTGCTATCATGCCTGGCTGATTTTTTGATTTATTGTAGGGATGAGGTCTCGCTGCCCAGGCGGGTCTCGAACCTGTGGGCTCAGGCAATCCACGCACCTCAGCCTCCCAAAGGCACGGGATTATAGGCTGAGCCACCAAGTTCCTTTCTATAACTTTATTAAAATGACAGATATAGTTTGCTTTCCTCTCTCTCATATTCATACTGAAAGAAATTCCAGTGAATTGCTGAAATACATAGGATTCCAGGGAGATTTTTTTTTTTCCCATTCTAAGATGGAGTTGTCTTAATAAATATGTTTTGGGTAGAGATCATGATATATACCACAAGTAATTATATTGGTAGCAATTATGTTGATAAAGAATTTATATAATTTCATCCTTTTAATCTAAACAAAACTCATTATTTAATATTTCTTAGCCTCATAAAATATGAAAACAGTGATGGTTTAAGAGGGTGTGAGTTAAGTACAGTAATTTCCTTTCTATAAAATCTATATGGGTGCTTTATAGAGAATATTAACTTCTTTATATTAATGTCTTTCTAAGTAATGAAATGCTTGTAAAACATCCCATTTTAAAAAAGAAAAGTCATAGTTTTATTGGAAGAATAACTTTTTATTTATCTTCCTAATGAATATCAAAAGTGGTCCTCAAAGGCCTCATTCAGTTTTAATATTTTCCGAGTTCAGTGTGGAAAAGAATACCAATAAAACCAAAACAATTTTCAGTAAACACTGTCACCATCCAGCACAAAATAGAGCAAATATAATAGCCGATAAAAAGGAAGCATTTAACACCAGCTCTATTATTGCACTTTCTAAAATTCACTTAGTTTGACTAAATAAATATGTGGCCGCTGGTCAATTATTTATCCCACTTGAGTTTATTTCTGCAGCCCTAACCTAAAGATGAAAGCCGTTTCCAAAGGAAGCCTAAAGATGAGCTGGACATATTATGAAACCTAAGATCTCTCCTATCCTCTAGGGCTAAGTATAAAGACAAGTGCTAATCTCAGATTATTTCAACAAATTAACTGATCCAGGGTACCACCCAAGCCTTCACTCAATGGTGAGAAGTATCAAGAAAGACATAGGTGTGGTATTGCAGGGGCTATTTCTTGTTGGTTGCCATTTTTTCAGGAAAAATTAAGTTCTTTCATGTTAAGAAGACAACTTATTTCATGTTAAGAAGACTTAACTTATTCACCTCCAAGCTAAGCTATGCATCTAAAGAGTACAACGTTGTAAAGGGATGGAAAGTGTAAGCCATTGGAGTTAAGGCCTATAGTCAAATGCCAGTTCTATTATTTCTTAGTATGTGACAAACTTTTCTGAGCTTTGGCATTCAATGTCTAAAACAATCTTATCTTGGGTGGATGTTGGAAAAATTAAAAGAGAATTTAATGAGAATCATCCAGTAAGTTTTAAATAAAGGAATAATATTTATCCCTTAATAATATTTATTCCTTAAATAAAGGAATAAAGAGATACTACTTTAAAAAATAATGGCCTGTTCGTTATTAACAGCCTCCTATTTGGAGTTTCAAGTGAGCCCAGTGCAAAGGCTTGGATAGAGAAACTTTTTTTTCCTCTGTATTCCTTCTAACATCATATCCACTTTCAAAATTACCTTTTTAGGCATTACATCTATTCAAAACACATTTTGAAACAGTTTTCTTATCTTTATGTTTGCCTTTAATTAAAAAAATATATAAATGCTCACTAAGAATTCTTTGATATCATTTCTTAATAGGTACGTATTTATTTGGAGCCTTTACTCATCACAAAGGAAAGACTGATTGAATGGTGAAAATAACTACATGGTTGAAGAATCCTCTATGAAACAGAAGAAAAGAAAGTTAAATAATAGAGGCAGCAGACCACAGACTAGTTAAAAGAACAGACCTTGCAATAAGATAGACCTAGGTTCAAATATGGGCTTAACTAACTACTTTGTGATCTCAAGGAAGACACTTAATTTCTCTGAGAATCAATGTCTTTTGTAAAATGAGGAAAATAAATAACCACTTTATAGAATGGTTATAAGGGTTAAAGTCTTTAATAATACCTAACTGACAGTAAGATCCCAATTAATGCCTGGCTTCTATTGTTATTAATATCACTCATATTTAACATAGTGTTTTACAAGATTAGTATGTCTCTCTCTTTTGTTTTTGAGTTAGAGTCTCACTCTGTTACCCAGGCTGGAGTACAGTGGCACAATCATGGCTCACAGTGGCCTTGACCTTCTGGGCTCAGGTGATCCCAAGTAGCTAGGACTGTAGGCGCATACCTCCATGTCTGGCTAATTTTGTTAAATTTTGTGGACATGAGGTCTCGCTATGTTGCGTAGGCTAGGCTGGTCTCAAACTCCTGGGCTCAAGCAGTCCTCCCACTTTGGCCTCCCAGAGTACTAGGATTGCAGGTATGAGTCACTTGGGTATGACATTGAGTAACTTAGGTAACTTAGGTATGAGAGTATGAGTAGTAGAAAAAAGTATTTACTCTTCTTTAATGACTAAGAGTCTCTCTGAAGAGACTGTATTTGTTAAAATATTCTTATCTTTCATGTTTCATAAATAACAAGAATAGAGAATAGAGCAAGTAGCAGCCACCATGTTCTAAATTGCACGGGCATTTAGTGTTCAACAGAAAGTTAATCCTCTTGGTAATTCTAAAGACTATTTCAAATACGCCTGTATTTTCTTTTAACTGTCATTCCCTCAAATGAAACCCTCATTATTTCCCATCAGGACTACAGTAACGTCCTATCTACTTTCCTTGCTTTCACTCTTACCAATCCTCCAATCCATTATCTAACTTGAGCCAGAATATTTTAAAAATACGAATCACATTATGCCATCCTCTAATTAAAATTCAAAGTCCTTATCATAGCCTTTGTGGTACCAAGCCTCCAATATGACCCCCAACGATCCTTAATTCCTGATATTCACATTCTGTGTAGTTCCCTTCCATTTTATATCAAGGTTGGTCTGTGTGGCCAATAGCGTACGGCAGACACTCGTTTATAAAAGAAGGTGGCTTATATTTTGGGCACTCTCTCGACTGCTTTCTTTCTTTGAGATCTTTCGCTCCGAAGGAAGCAAGCTACCATGTTATGTTACGAGCAGCTTGTAGAGAGACCCATGTGGAGAGGAACCAAAGCCTCTGGCTAATAGCTAGTGAGAGACTGATGCTGATGGCATCCATGCGAGTGAGCCTGGAAGTGGGCTCTCCAGTTCTGGCTGAGCCTTCAGGTGATTGAGGACCCTCATGAAGGCCCATGAGCCAGAACCACTCTGAGAAACACTCCCAGATTCCTGACTCAGAGAGACTGTATGGCATGCTTATAGTTCTAAACTGTTACATTTTAGGTAATTTGTTATTTGGCAATAGAAAACTAACATAGCCTACAAAGGTCCTGATAACCTAACCCTTGAACGCTTATCTAATCTTAATTCATATCACTCTCTTTCACTCATTATGCTCCAGTCATACAGGCCTTCTTTCAACTCCTCTAAGGGCCAAGTTTCTCTACTGCCTTTGTATCCGGTGTTCCTGCTACCTGGAATGTTCATCCTCCCAAAGTCTGAATGGCTGATTGCTTTACTCCCTCCACTGACTGCTTCTTCTGACTATACCTTCCTAATATAAACCCCATCTTTCGCAACATCAAGCACTCTATTTTCCTCATAACACTAATCACAATCTGTCATTTCCCCCCACACATAAGACTATAAGCCCCACATCAGAATGTAAGCTCCCAAAGAGCAGGGACCATACCCATAACATTCTTCACTGAATCTCCTACAGAACAGGACCTAAATGAACATTTGTTGAATGAATAGACCATTGAAAATTTTTTTTAAGCAAAAAAGAAACAAACATAAAACTCTCTTCAGATATTAGCTATAGTAACAGAGGTCAGACATTCTGACAGTAAATGTTGAGTAGAAAAGGTATCTTTGTTAGTAAAATGCAATTTTAGAACGATAACCGGGAGAGAAGATAGAGTATGCTTACTTGATTTTGGCCACAACAAACAGGTCATCGAATAAGAAGAGATGCCGCTCCTGCCTCTGCAGGCCTCTTTTGAGTTCTACCCGGCCATCAATCAGCAGAGTCCTATTGGAGCACACAGATGATGACAGAAATGCACACGTGTCGATGCTAGCAGAAGGACTTTCCCTGTAACAGATAAAACACCAGCTAGCCAAATGATCAAACATGGGGCCCAATTTTTAGAAAACTGTAGTTTACAATTGTCTGAGAAACAGAAAACCCTAAAATTTAATGCAATGGCTTAGTGTACTTACTGACCCCCGGTCTATTCACACAATAGTCTTAAACACTTAATTATGAAAATTTGAAACATAAAGCCAAGTCAAAACGGTTTTATAATAAACACAAGTATGTATGCCTCAACCTAGGTTCCACCATTAATATTTTACTATACTACAATAATATACCTATCCAACTGTCTATCCTGTCTATTAGCACTAATCCATTTTCTCTGTGTCATTTCAGTAAAAGCTGCATATGGCAGTACATATGTCCTAAATGCTTCTGTGTGCGTATCATTAACCAGAGTTCAATCATTTAGAATTTTTCTTGTGCTATAAAATGTATATACAATGAAATGCACAAATCTTAGGTGTATATTCACTGACTTTTTAAATTTAAATAGCTTTGGGGGGACAAATGGTTTTGGATTTGGGTGCTTTGGGTGGCGAAGAAGTATGGGCTTTAAGTGTACCCACCACTCTCATCTGTGCACATTGTACCTGAAAGGTGATTTTTCATTCCTCCCTAACTTCTGAGTCTTCAACGTCCATTATACCATTTCATGTGCCTTTGCAGTTCCTTAGTGTAGCTCCCACTTATAAATGAGAATATGCAGTATATGATTTTTCAACACTGTGTTACTGTCCTTGGATGGAATTGGACACCATCATCCTAAGTTGCCGAAAAAAGACAGTATTTCATTCTTTTTTTAAAATGGCTGAGTAGCCAAGTTTCAAATGTACTGAGTCTGAAATTATCAGTGGGCTAGGTGGTATGGGGAAATCAGGCAGGTACATGGAACTTGGGAGAGATGTCAGAAGTAGAGATGTCATGTAAGACAGGTGCATACACAACACCTTGGGCATAGCTAAAGCTACTCAGGGAAGGAGTACATACCTAAGAAAAGATACAAGCTGAAGAGGTGTAGGGAAGAGAACCTATGAGCAAGATGGAGAGTGGGGGATGAATTAACAGAAAAAGAAGGATAAAAGGCAGTGGTGGTCTGGAGTGCTGAAACTGGTAGAGAAGATAAGCTGAGGGAAAGAGTCATCAACTGGTCATTAAAACCTTCAAGAAAACAGTTCCAGGATAATGAAGGGTAAAACTCAAACAGCCTGGGGTTTGAGGAGTAAAGGGACAAGAAGTGAAGAACTAAAGGCAGGAACTCTGGTTATTTTTTAGGAGCTTAACACTAGAAAGTTATTTTAAGGATTTTAAAGTTTCCAAAATCTTTCCGTATGTAGCGATTTTCAAAATTATAGAAAACTAGAATAAAGCTTCACTTACTCATGTCAAAACTGAGCTAGCAAGCAAGAATGGATGAAAGAATGACTAAAATAGCATTTTACATAGCTTCAATTTTTAAAATTATATAACAGCAAAACTTTGCAAGAGGAAAAATTATCTTTTGCATTTTGGTTTTTGAATCCAATAAATAACTGCTTTTTTAAAACCATAATAGTAAGCTATCAGAGAGCAGCATGGATTAAACTAGGGATCCTCAAGTTATTATTCAAAGGGTCTGATCATGGGGGAATGACATTGGTGATGTGAGGAGAGTGGGAAAGAAACACAATATTGAGTTTGGAGACCAGGATTAAAGTCTCAAGAACATGAAAAAAAAGGGGGGGGGGGGATCTGATGATAAATAGTTAAGTTTTGTGGGCCATACCATCTCTGTCAAAACGATTCAATTCTGCCTTTGTACTGCAAAATCAGTCCCAGTCACTACATAAATGAACAGATGTGGCTGTGTTCCAATAAAATTTTATTGCAAAAACAGGCAGCCTGTCTATAGTTTGCTGACCCATGGCTTAAATAATACTTCCAAACATTTTAATGCTTATAAATAAAGGCTAATCTGAAGCAGTTAGAGAATTAATATTTTTGCTCCAGATTAGTATAGGCCAAACAAAGATAAATTAGAATATATTTTTAAATGACTTGCATTTTAAAACAATTCCAAAGGATTTTCATACATAAAAAGTAATCTTCCTTCTCATGATGTTAATGTCAAATAAGGAGATTTTGGTGCTGGTGCCAGGGAGAATCCACAATAAAATTAAAGTCCTTTTCTTTTTCTGTGTGGATATGTCAATCTGTCATTTAAAATATCTACATATAAGTGTGGCAAGAAATGTCTGAATACTTTAGCAAGTTAAGCAATGGTTAAAAAAAATTCATGCAGCACTCTAGGATAAAAGTAAACATCTCAGCACTCACATAATTTAACAGAAAAAAGATCTTTCCTAGAAGGAAACAAAAACACAAATACCCTTGTGTTTTTTTTAAAACTACAATCTTACTTAGAGTTTCCTATTTAAAAATGTATTTCTTAATTATGTAATGCTCAAGTATTTTAGTTTTTTAGAGGATGGAAATGGGAGAGGGGTAAAATTATAACCTTCTATTTAGTCTCTTAATATAGCCGGATTAAAATTTACAAGTTATAATTAACAGAGTTCTAAATTGAGCTAACAAAAACCAGTGAAGTCTAAGAAAAACCAGTGAAGTCTAAGAATTAACCTGCTGCCTGCTTCTTATGTATTAAAATTCTATCTTCAAGTGGGTTTTTAAAAGCATTTCTGAAAGGCCAAAAAGGGTTTCAGGATCTTAATCAGTTTTTGCTAAAACTAGATAATAGCTTTTATGAAACCTGGTCACAGTAATATCTCAATATTTATAACTAAGTTTCATTCTAAAAGTGAGTCCACATTCAGGTACAATTTTAGAGGTGGTGTTGCTTAATCATGAATTACAGAAGAAAATAAACTATAATTCAGAATATTTCTTGGAAATGTATATGTTTATAAGTGGTAATCAATTAGAGATTGTGATGACAAGTACTAGACAGGATCTGGATAACCTCAAAGCTGGTACAGTAGCTAGCGCATAATTACTGCTCAATAATTTTGAATAATTGGATAAAATTTATCTTCCAACAATTTACCTATATCTCAAAGCCCATTCCAAATACATGTCTTCCATGAAAACTTCCTATCAACTATCCTTGCTTGGCATCTCTTGTATGACATCTAGAACTTATGTTCAGCTTCATACCTCTTAACTATTCTCATTCAACATTTATTGAGCATACAGTTACCACATAATACATTATCTGTAATAGTAATAAGAGTTGTCTTTGCTGGGTACCTGTCATGTGACATGCAAGGGAGATACATTTGGTCTCTGGCTCAAGGAGTTAGCAATCTGATAGGGGAATCAGACAAATAACACAATGGTAAACCAAGGAAGTAAGTGCAATAAAAGAAATGTAGAGTGCTGGGGCACAAAGAGGAGCAAAAATAGGAATCCCTGTCTGGGACTGGATTGGTTAGGAAAATTTCTTGGAAGAACCAAAGTCTTAAAGGATGGACAGACAGACCAATGAAGGCTGAAGGGCACTCCAACGAGAAGGAAGAACAGGTCAAACATATACCTTGTGCTTCAGCAACTGTGGAAAATTCAGAAAGGCTGGAGTTATAAGGGCAGAGGAAAATTAGCAGCAGATGAGGAAGGGGCCTGATCATGGATGTTTTACCTACCTCGTTAAGGGGCTTAGATTTTATGTGAAAGCACTGAAGGCTTCTGAGCAGGACACTGTTTTGCAATACAGGTTGAGCATCCCTAATTCAAAAACTCAAAATCTGAAATGCCCCGAAATCCAAAACTTTTCGAGCACCAACATATGTATACAAACTGTTTTCATGCAGAAAATTATAAAAAGACTATAAAATTTTATTAGTTATGTATCAACCTGAATATTGGTATTTTAGCATAAATGAGCTAGTAGTAGTAGGCAAATCACTGCCTGGAGCGTATATACTGCCTTGAGGACTTTGTAACTTGCAGGCATAATGTGATACTTCTAAATTTCCTAACTGGAGTTATTAGGTGACTTTTTTTTTTTTTTTTATACTGTAGCAGACCCAGAAATTATATATGGAACTATTTTTTAATCAGGTTTAATTCTTTTGTTCCTTTTAGTGTACCATGACATAATTATTATGTGAACCAAATTCCTCAAACTACTGGAATGCCCAGTCAGCATCTTGGTGACGTGGTTCATTGTTGAATCAGTAAACAAACTAACATAAGATCACAAATATTTATAATCCCTACACCTAAAAATTTCCTTAAGTAGCTTGAATATGTTCAGCATTCAAGATGATCCAAATGAGTTTTACTTGGTTGATAATGAATATAAGTGGTATTTTTAAGTCAACAGACCACAACAAAGTGACTGAATTAGTTTGGGGGTTTCTCCAATCCTTAGTTGGAATGTATCTGTTCTTACTCATTCTTTCATAATGAAAGCAGCTATTGTCGAAGAGCTGCCATTTGTCACTGAGCTGTTTGAAGTTCTAAAACAATAGCTGTCTGATACCCTAAGCAAGTAGACTTTGGATTAAAATTTTAGGTAGAAGTGGCAGCTTTGGCAGTATTTTTCATCTAGTTTTATTAGATCTCTGTTTTTCCAGTTCTCTGGTTGAAATAGGTCATAATGGAAAAAAAAATTGCTACAAGGACATAAAAGCACATAAACTATATGAAACCATTAAAAAGTTCTCTGTATCCCTAAGATATAAGCAGTGTCTGATTCATAATAGCTGTTCTAATTATTTGTTGATTGAGTGCACTTATTGCCTACAAAAATGTGCTACTTAGCACTTAATTATACAACATCTCTTGTGTTCTCTATTTTTTATCTGTATGCCGTGTTTCCCCAACTGGATGGCAAGATCCTACAGCGCTCTTGATACTGTGTAACAAGGTAGCATTCAAATCTTATTTCTGATCCCTTATTCCTAGAACTGTGCCTTGTACAGAGGACTCAAATGTTTGCAAGATGAATATAGCTAAACAAACAAACGTTAGTTTCTCCTCTACCTACAAAAGTGGAA